AATTCCTGTTCCAAGCAGAGTAACGAACGGGTTTCAGTGTATGAATGTTGTTGATCATTTCACTCTAGCGCAAAGTCATTTGCACGCACGCACTCAATTCCTCAGAATGATTGCGCTTTATTATAAAATGCGCGCATACTATCGCTTTCGTCGTAATCTGCGTCATGTGCGATACCATCGACCTTTACTTTGAATTGTTTAAAAATAGAAATATACATCAGCAACCTGTACCATACCTGGATCGTATTTCGTAGGACAGCACGTTCTGGTGTTGTATGTTCTGTTGTTGTCAGTATAACTTCCAGGTTTGCTTCTTTCTTGTTGAAAATCTTTTGCTACAGGTCGGTGTCAAACAACTTTGCTGTGATGGAAACAGTTCAATGAAAGATGTCAGCTGTCACGTTGCGATGACTAATTCATCTCTCTGATTGGTTGATCTCGGTTTTCAGATGACGTGCGCGAGCAATTACTCCAAGGGGAATAACAATATAACACCTGGTCATGCAAGGAATCAAGTTGTTTTCATGTCCTTTTCTGCATTGGGTTTTTTAAATATATAACACATGCATATATATCTGCAATGGATAAACTCAAATTCATTCAGAACTGTAAGAAAAAACTACTGCATGTAATTTCCATTCTGTACCTGTAGTACAAACACTATTTACTTCCTTTTCGCTCTATAGAAATTCGTAGCTAGAAATTAAGAAAAATAGTGACATACATGCATGTATAGTACGCTCACAGTCTATCGTCCTGATCTCATTTATCTCAGTGCCGAGGCCTTCAAGCGAGAAAGGACAACAAAACGCTTCTATATTGCCCAGAAATAGCTATTAATTTACGTATATATTATTGTTCCTGGTGAGGTATTATGGGGCACCATGCAGTGATAATTGGAAATGCGGTGTCTGAAGAAAATCATTATATGACTTTGTCGAGAGTGACCGCTTTGTGATTACTGAATGACATCAACCTTTGAAAAGCTACTGTATGAGTCATCGTAGTGATGCTTCAATCAACAATGAGACACCCAATTTTACGTGACAGTATAATACCAGTCAAGCATAACACACACATTATATATATTATATATATATATATATATATATATATATATATATATATATATATATATATGTTAAGCAAAATTCATGAGCCTGTTCTCTATATTTCTTTTTATCTGTTTCTATACCATATTACATACCGAGTTCTATATTTGAATTCTATACATTGTGCTTGAGTTGGTTTTATTGTCATTATTCTGCGCTGCATACAAACGAGTATATAGGTTACACAAACCTAGCTTTTGTAACCCAAAGCCAATATTCCTATTTTTGTTGGCTGATGAGTAACTGATACCGCGGGACGCGGACGCATGCATGGATAAAGAACTGAATGTTTAAATCAGTACAATCTGAATATTGAAACTGAAGTATAGTAGACCGAAGTATAGTAGAATTAAGGTTGTAAGAAATTCAGTCAACAAAAAATCCATTCATGCAGTATTTTCCGCGTTAGCACTTATCAGTAGGAGGATGACGAGGATCTACCGGATGATGTTCTACTTATAGGACTGATGAGGATCTACCGGATAAACTGTTTACCTGATAAACTACATCTGCACCCAGTATTTACCGGATGAACTATAGGTCACGCGAATAACCATGCACGATATATGACAGTCTGTAAATATAACAAGCTCAAATATCGTTGTTTATGGTAAATTGGCCATCCGGCCGTTTTATTTTCACAATCATGCAGGTTTGATTTTCTGCTGTCGTTTTGAATTTTTGAACGTCATGCACAGAAGCAGGACGGCAGGAGTAGTGTACGAGGGGTGCACTAACATCCTCAGCCAAATTATTATCTGCGGTCATCGACATTCATCAGTTAAAAAAAGTGAATCTTAGACTGAAAGCTCAAAGCGACGACAGGGCCGCGATAATAATATACTCACGGTCAAAATGGCTTGTTATGGAAAAAAGATCTAATCTTGGTTCCAAGATTCCCGACTCTAATTAAAAAGCTCTCAGCGTACATGAAAAGTGCTTTATTTAAAGCCACTCCCAGCTGAAGAACGCACCGCACCCTATAATTTTCTTAGGCAGGCATGATTACATTAATTACAATTTAAATTTAAGACCTATAGTTAAGTCCTCTACAAGCAATGAATATCATGGTCAGTATAAATTTCATTGATTAGTCTCTTTAAGAAAAAGTTTCGAAACAACCTTTGAAGCGAGGATCACGTGGTTAATAAAAATCTACAAATAAAACCTTTAACAATTCATTTATCAAGTTCAAACGTTGTTTCAGAATTCCACCTGGTTCAATAGCGATTTTACTTTTCACTTTCATGAACAGGAAATCCATCAGTAAATACAGAAACAGAAACAGCAGGCTGAAATTTAACCAAGGGTTAACGCTAATCGGGCTTGAACAACTGGTCCCTGTGTACAAACGCCGCGATTTGACGCGCTCTGCGAAAACGTCGCTCATGACCCGAATAAGAATTTTAGGTTCTAGAAACATCTATATTTGCAGTTTGCTTTCTCGGTTTCTCCTATACGCAAAAGCACTCGAAATAGCCGGACGCCGCATTTGTCTGGCTTCACCGGTCAAAGGAATGATATTAATCCTGTAAAACGATAGAGAGAGATAATGACTCAGATCACGAGCTTGGCATGAGCATATCACACATCATAGCAGACATCAAACTTTAGCCTAAGCCAAAAAGTGGTTTCATATTTCACAGATTAGAAACACACCATAAAGAGAAGTCCAGGCAATTTTGGATCCAGTCGGGCGAATTCTTAATAGTGATTTGTATGAACGCTTATACAGTCTAAAGCCCCGTTTACACTACACTCAATTTATCGGCACGGTACGGCTAAAATAGGTACCCGTGTTCAATTTTAATAGTGTTCAGGCTACCAAAACAAAGGCCGGGCACGAATGAAATGAGCACGGGTACTCATTTTAGCCGTGCCGTGCCGATAAATCGAGTCTAGTGTAAACGGGGCTTAAGAGAACGAGCTCTATAGAATTTTAAGCCTATTTGTCTTGTCTGTACTCAGTACTCTCCGGGAATTTTGATTTTTTAATTTTGTTACATAATAATTCATAATTGCCGAGTTGTGAGAGTTGGATGCACGCTATATTCATATACTCATAATTCATATATTCATATAATCATATTCGCATATTCGTACAAAGGAAATCCGTCGGGCAAAACGAATAGTTGAATATACACCGACCTCTCTACTCATCCCCTCCCAAAAAGGATTGAAACCATCCATGGAGGACCTATGAATCTTGGATGGTAATCTCTAAATTATGCGGGATGGAGTGTTTTGAGCGTCCTATACAACTATTGTTTTCATTATTGATATTAAATTCTCCGTAAATCTTGAGGAATTACGCCTGTTTTCTAAAAGCCCACTCATACTCAATTAACTCAAACTCATTGAGTGTGAGATCTTAATCACGTCGTAATGTCTCCACGAGTAAGCTTTTAGAATTACAGGCATTAATCTTTCAACTTTTCTCTCGTCGTTAAACTGGATCTTATTCTTTTATTTATTATATCCGCAGCTCACCGAATTCCTAATTACATTTACAGCTGAAGTGGAAGCCTCTGAGTTCCATCTCAGTGAAACATTAGTCGAATAAACTTGTTGATAAACTTGCCACTGCCCGCTCCCCACCTACCCATAGTCATGACAAACGGCTTCGTGTTATTTCGAACCGATAGTTGATGGGTTTCACCTGCAAAATACCATTTCACTCATTACCTCAAGACAGTGAATCATTCCGAAATTATCAAACAGAGTATACTGGCCGAAAATGAAAACGGTAGAATCGAAATATTTGGAGCCTTGGACGTGGTGAAAAACATAACTGAAATGAAGTGAAAGGATTAAATGAAACATGTAGAATTCGAATATCGCGGATGTATGTTTATCGTACAGCAAGTACTTATTACAAACTAAAATTTTCTTCTTTACAATTTAATTTCCGTTTATCGAAATGCTTACAGACTTTTCCAGACAGACATGCATTGATAGCAATGAATAAATATAATTAATATTTTATGCAAATGAATAAGTCATAGCTAAAAATAATTTCGGCGATGGAGTCAGAAAGGCAACCATTGTTGACGACGCAAGTTTTTGAGTAACCCGCGTGTGCAAAGTATAAACCGGATTTATAAATTAAGACTGATCACATGGACTGGTAACTGGTGGTAACAGCCATGCAAATAGGAGATTACACACAACGAGGAGTCATACATGTCGCTCCAGTATGCACGTTGTACTGTACACAGGCCATGACCATCGATATTACAAATTTAGTCAACAGTACCACTCATTGTCAGCATAACTTGCTATACAAATTGCGTTGACATTTTCGTTTTCTCCCTACAAAGGCTTTTCCTATTAGTGCAATTTTCTATTTTCTTTTTTTTCCTAGAATGAATTCGGAATATCACCGATCAATTTGGTATAAGGAAGAATGATTCACATTTCCCTATAACCATACAATACTAACCTGAATAAGTTCCATAATTTTTCATTAATATATGACGAAGCAACATACATGCTCTTCCGTAGATATAGATCACTACTGATTCAAGGAATTGACTCGGTCATATATGGAAACGGGAAACCTGGTCCGACTGATCATGCTGGGTCGCCTCGCCCTCATTTAAGAACCAGACCTTAGGACTGAAGAATATCATATTAATAAACGACGTTTGCGGTTTTTGTACTAAAAACCTTCAATAGGAAAGATGCTTTGAGTACTTAAAGAGTTTTCATATCAGAAACCTGAATCCGATCATGAGTCCAGTTTTGGAATTCTGCCGTCTATATTTCATGCTAATCGCCTAATCTCCATGACAAAACACAGCGCGTCCGCGCGTCACATCCTGATCCAAACGTAAACATTCGAAAATCACGTGGGGGAATTATGCATGCCAATCCCAAAATTTTAATTATTACAGATAAGCGTCGTCGCACAGCCTGACAAGAATTTTGTCCCGATTTATTAACGAACCACTGCTGTTTCGCTTTTGTTGGCTAGAGAGAGTGTAATCGATATCGAAAAAGGCTAAAGGACAGCGAATATATACTCTTGATTTGCGAAGGTAAATACGCAACAATATTTCTGTATCAATACTATTTCGATCGCATAAACTTTTTATCTAATGTATATTGGATATTTGAATATGATTCAAACACCGAAAGCTTAACGGGTTATGATTACAAGGCTACTTCAATAGTTCAATTCTTATTCTTGATTTTATAACTCAATCCACAGTAAACTTCGGTTTAGTGTGGTTCTTACCGTATATTTCAGCTTGATTTGCCATGAACTTGGACATGATTTTGAACCGGTTGTTAGGTAGCTCCGTAGCTTATCGTAGCTATATTGGCGCCGTCTATATTTGGATCAGGTTGAGCTATTAGATCGCATTTTAGTTTTAAACTTGTTACATTTTGAGCACTTTGTGTCGAGTATCGAATTGGCTTTCGTCGTTGCCATAATATTACAGTGTATGGCTGATGCCATATTCCATATATTACAGTATAGTCCGATCTTGTGTCACGTTTACAAACATTACTCATCTTTTTAAATTTCGCAAAATTTAACACCAAGATATATTTCGTAGCTCTTCCGTAGCCTCTTCTTAGCTATGTTTTGGAAAAGGGCGTATTTTGTTTCGGAGTGAAAGAAATACCGCGCATGAAATTACATTTTGTTTCCATTTCATAAATTAATATTATACTTTCGGAACTTTGCCATGAACCGAATGCAATATAGATTGCTTCATTTGAATTGTCTCCCGCTGGTATTACATAAACTTTTTAAAAGCATGGTTCTGAGGTTCTTTAACGTTTAATAGTGTGTAAAAATAGTTTAGACTGCCACCATATTATTTTAATCTCAGCTTTCACCACTCCGATGTAAAACGATCCATATTCGAAAATTTATTCAATTCAATGTTTATTCGAAGTGTAACGAGTCTCTTTCAGAACTCTTCAAACTGACACCAGTGTCAAAAGCCTATTTCAATTTTGTCAGCTATTTTAAAAGTATTCTTCTGTTCTCAAACATATTTTCAAGTATACAAACTTTGTAACTTTAAACACTTCATAATGTGCCCTCGCGGTCATGCTGTTCCGACTGACCAGCATTTTATATATCATTAATATTTTGAACATAAATAATTTAGTAACAAATAAAAACATTTCAGTAGCTTGACCACAATATCGTTCAGGACGGAAATTCTATGTTTTGGCATAAATAACATTAGAGCTTTATTTTCCAAAAAATGAAAGACCAAACAAACCAAAGACAGTTGCCAACATTTTATGTCTTGGTTTCCGGTAACTTTATATGCTTTTGTCCTCCCAAGGGCTAGGCAAGTAGGCGTATAATATTTAGCAGTTTTGCTCTTGGTTTAAACGTTTTCCGCATCCCACGTGTTTTTGAATATCTATATATATTTTAATACAAATCGAATCTTAGCCCTCTTTTTGTAAAATGATATCGTTAAACCTTCTTGAGGAAATTCGTTATTTTTATATCTATTATAATCGTTTAAAATTCCGTCAGCCCAGAAACATATACGTTCTCTCGTTTCAATCTATGTTTTGCTCAAGACAAAAAAGGCTTTGTTTTGGTTTTGTTTTTATGCAATTCAAAAGAACAATTGCATCTCTTTATCAGAAAAAAATCGCAACATCTATCTTCAAGGTAAAACCATTTTCCAATTGGGTCTGTTTGTTTTTAGTGGAAGGGAAAAATACGGAAAATATCTTTTGATCACTTACTATCATGTTTTATCTAAAGGACACTTGGGCATTTTATAGATAAGGTGAAATTGTTTTCCAAAATAATAAGATTTTCCTCTAATATGGATTTTAAGTGACACCAGCCTTCTGTCTGATAGGCTGAATAAGGAAAACCCTCATTATTATAAATAATTAAGTAGTTGTGACTTGTGTGGCTTTTTAATTTTAAAAATATTTGCTTTTTAACTAAAGTTTGTCAAATTTAGGCACATTTAATAATATATACTACACTTGTGTACAAATATATCTAAAATATACTGCAAATATTTTAGTTTCCCCCATATATTATCATTTTTGATAATGTTAAAAACTAATTTATTCAAGGTCCACTTTACAGTTATGCATTATTTAGAAGATTGAAGTATCTGATTTTACCTTTAGTTCAGTTATAACCTTGCTCAAAAGTTTAGCTAAAATTATAATCTCACCAAAACTACAAAAAGTTAATAGTTGAAAGTTAAAGTCTTTCTTGATATTTGGACATATAAGGTATGTTTGTTAGGACAATGATAAATGTTCATTGAGCATTAGGCTAAACTTTTAATATCCTTGTTAAACCTTTTAATATCACATTGGGTTTGGGTAATGCGTATTTATAGATCAATGGACCTTCAAATGTTATCTGTTTTGTGCAAAAGAAACTGATTTGAAACTGATTTTTATCATACATGACACTGTCGTTTTTTGAAAAGGTGTTTTGACGAAATGATTGAATCTATATAGCATGTCCTGATGCCCTGAAGCATCAAATATAATCAGTATAACCCATCTGGAGAAGCTGCCCAATACTGAAGAAAATATCTGTATACAATGATAAACAATTGATGATCTGTGCACAATGGAACACCTTTGGGGTCTTGTGACATCCGTTTGAATGAGGATATGCGAAACTATACTTGTGACCATTATCAATTCCTGTTAAAATATTGGCTTGAGCAACAAGCCACATTTCCTTTTTTCTTATCTTTTGCTGCATATATGAAAATAAACATCACAATGGACAATACTGTACTTGAATCTATATTGGTTCTTCAGTGAGTTCTTCCTTGTCAACTAGCATAACAATATGTACCTATGTGGCAACTGGTTTGTACAATATTGCTAAATTTCAATTTTGTTGAAATTTGTTTATTATTGAAAGTATTTCGGAAAAGATGTAGATTTTTCATGTTAGCCATTCAGTCCAGTATGCTTTAATTCACATTTTATTTTGACGAAAATTTGCCTTTCATAGTTAGACCACTTAATTTTTTTTGGGGGGGGGATGTATATTCATATATTCATGATTATATGTAGAAGATCAGAAAGCTCACAATCTGTCAATCGCATGTCTGGACCTGCAGTTGCTAATAAGAATATGTAGTAATATTTTTTTTCTGTTATAATAATATAATAATCTGTGACCTTCACGGTTGATTTGGGTTGGTCGTTTTGTTGGCTTCTGCTGACAACGATGATTTTCAGCTGTGTGGGTGTTTCTCGCCACTGAAACCCCCCTACTTCTCCGGAAGATCTGGCACTGTGTTAGAGTGTAAATGACTATCAATGATGATATTTTGATTACGGAAATTAGTGCATTGAAGATTAACAAATTCTTGAACTGTTTCAGCAATAATAACGTATCTTTTGACAATTTGCCAAATTGACTGAGTTTTATTCCATGGTATGGTAGCTGAGTTGTGTTTAAATATTCAGTTACAAAACATTGAAAAATTCTAAAAGCTGTTTTTGGGGTACTAAGGAAATTGTCATCCGCATCTGCTGGGTAAAAGGTGGCCACTACTGATACGGTGTCACTTCAACAAGTTTGACTGTACTCTTAAATCTATCTTCAGAACCCTTGAACTCTGAGCTATCTGTTCTTACAAAACTGGGCGATGATTTGGTTGCTTCTATTTGCACTGGCCTTAGTTTCTGGTAAGTACATCTCAAGTCTTACATATCTTGTAGTGTTGAGCTCAGAAACCCCGTGGTCCGTGGATCAACTATTTCACTGTGAGAACATCCTTCATTCGTCTGCATTTGGTCAGAGGATATCTAACAATAAACCCTCTAACAATTGAGTCTAGTGGTTTAAAATAATGAATGGTAATAGGAGAATCATAAAATGCGAACAGGCATTCAAATTTCATACGGAAACAAATTTTAATCTGTTGGAAATCTGTTGGAGAAGGCACGAAGCTCTCAGTTTTTAGAGTGTAAATTTCTATAACAATCTATATCTTACAAATCTTGCTTTAAACTGCGTTTAGTCTTAGTACAAAAAACAACTTTTTAGGGCAGGAAAAAATTCCTAAAATATTCAAAGACGCCGACGACGTTTACTCCTTCCCGGATAATTTTCAAAGATTGCGAGTGGAAACAAACGATGTCCCGTCCGCGAATTACTATTGGCTGAAAGATGACAAAAAGATCACAGGGAAAACTGAGCCAAAATTTCTTCAGTATGACCAACGAATATTGATGCCAGAAACTAAAGACAAGAAATATGCTGGAAAATACCAGTTTGTGATGGTAACAGATGCTGGAACAATCAAAGGAAGAGAAGTCAAAGTTGAATTTACTTGTAAGTACTACCTGCAGAAAATCTTAGCACTTAAATGCTATGCGGCTAAAAATGGTCATCTTTTTTCATGATATTTTCGACCTTGTATAGAACTGCAGACTATACGTCACATGTTGAATAATTAATAATAATATCGTTTTAATATGGCCTTTTTTTCTGCAATCCCACTTATGTGTAGGTCAATTGTTTACTATTTATTAACCCATGTCACTGTAAAGATTCAAATAATATAAGATATCTCTCCGGGTGATTCGGTTGTAATTCATCACCCATAGTTGATCATTTCTCCTTTCGTTCACATTAACTCGACGTGCTGTTATAATCATACCATCATATTATTTTGTACGTCAAAGATGCTGGGGAATTTGACCAAACCGTCCCCCCAAACCGGACAGAAGATGTCGTTGTTGGTCAGGCAAATTTTATCAAATGTCCAAAGCATGAACCTGGTTCAAATGTAATCTACAAATGGGGAAAATCGACTGCCATAACTGGAACAAAGTTTTTAGAGATCAGACCAAACTATATAGTTTTGGATGACGGAACATTGTTCTATTCGCATCTTACTGAAGAAAATGCAAATCAATTCAATAAATACGGGTGGGTATGCGGCATGGAGGCAAAAGTTGGTGACAAGAATCAATTCGGTTGGGCTGAGCATGTAATAACAACATTCAAAATAGTTAACAGTAAGTGTGGTTATTGAATTGCTATGTATAACGTTCTTTCTCTTGTGCCACGGTACAATTATTGTATGTATTTTATATTATAGTGTTTATTTAACAGTTGTAGATTCAACTAAACTAAAAAAATTAAATCTATCGTAACTTTGTTCGGCAGCAAACACGACAGAATTTGGGCCAAAAATTGTCACGAGGCTGCCGCAGAACAAACGATTTCAGGAGGGAGACACCATATCAATGAAATGTGCCGCCGCTGGAAGGTATGTGGGTGCATGAAGTGAAATTCTGCTCTGTTTCATTTATTCAAACGCCAATATCACTGTTATCAAGTAAGAAAGATCAAATACTGTACAGTAAGATACCTATAAAATGTTCTGTTTTTAGACCAACTCCTTCGTATTCATGGAAGAGAATTGATGTTGAGGGCAAAGAACATGCAATTGTGAATGGCAAAGGTGGCATGAAATTTGAGGACGGTGATGCCAGACTCCTTGTCCTGAATTCTGCAAAAAGAGAGCATTCAGGTCGATATTTCTGCACGGCTTCGATTGGGAACAAAAATGATACTGTCGAGGGTTCTTTAACGTTTGAAGGTATGGTACATTTATATTTATAATATAAGTATGATATAACGAGCAATTTGATTGGCTACCGCGCGTGCATTGTGAGGCCATAATGCACGCTTCTGGCTTTTGAAGTTTTTGTTGCTAAGCAACATCTTAAATAACATGTAAGGAGAATTTCATTATTGATCAAATAAATAAATTTTGTTGTTGCCCTATAATTTCTTCTTATATCATAAAAGAATTAAAAAAGCTCGTCGCGTGCCTTTATGGTGCAATAATGCACTCGGGGAAATGTTGGAAAAATACTCGAGAAGCTTGTAAAGCTTTTACAAGCTTCTCTCGTATTCTCCCAACATTCCCCCATCGTGCATTATTACACCATAAAGGCACGCGACTCGTTTTTTAATTCTTAAATATTAGCTACGTACGTACATGGGAAGACTATGTTTATTATCGGTGGGTATATTAATACAAAAAAAAATACTGTACTTTGCGGGAAAAAGCTTCATTGACTCATTTTTTCTAACAGTTGAACCAAAATGGGTTGGTAAGGACATCGAATCTGTGGAGCCGTCAATCTATACCAGTCATTCATGGACATGCAATGCCACGGGGTTCCCGGCGCCGAAATACAAATGGTATAAAAATGGTGATCAAATCCAAAGCAGGTACAATATAGTTTACAATATATACGCAGCTTTAACGAAAATTACCCGTGTGAAATGAAGGTGCAAATTTTAATGTGTTTTCATATCTGAACAACATGGAAGCATTTTGATTCATATAAAAATTCGACGACAATAAGTTCCTGTCAATGTAGTTCTTTAGTCGATTGTTTTAGGGTATTTGAATTTGTAATTATGACTCAATAAAGATACATGCATGGAGTTACAGACTTGGAAACATGATTTGTCATTTGGAGGTGATGAAAACGTAATGAACGTTATCATTATTGTTGCGTCACTGACCGAACCTTTATTTTATTATTCAGCAAGACGCATGTAATTGATAAAGGGACAATTACTTTTCCAAATTTGACACAAGCTGATACTGCCATGTATCAGTGTGTAGCTGAGAATACCATGGACAATATCTATCAAACTGCATATTTAGATGTTCAAGGTAGGTTCCTCGTTGTCCCTGATACGGATTCGGATTCCTTTTAAGGTAGTTTCAAAACATTATTCCCTCATCAGTTTTTTTTCTGTAAAAAGGGATCTCTATTTAAAACTGTGAAATTTTATTTGTTAATGTAGCTGAGAAACCTGTCTTCAACATGAACACTGGCAAGACAACACTATTCCTGGGGGCGAAAGGGACGATTAAATGTCATGCTAAAGCTGCTCCTGCTGCTAAAAACACGTGGGAGAAAGATGGAGTCAAGATAAATATATCTTTCTCGCGATATACACTGGTTAACAATGAACATCTTGTCATAGGTATATCATTATTGTAGATATAAGGGTTTACGTTGGTTATAATGGGTACGTTCGTAAGTACACAATTCCTCATGTATATGCATAACTTGGCATACGATTCCTCGAGTGGTGACTCAAAAGTTAAGGGCCGGTTGAACTAAAGACTGGATAGCTCTATCCACCGGAAAGTAATTTTTGCAAAAGTGCTTGAAGACAATCTTTAAGAAGTAGCTCCAATTTAATATGTACCAAACAACAACCAATTTTTGACGGCTGAAAAACGAATATCCGGTGGCTATCTAGTCTTCGTACAACCAGCCCCAGCATTGCTTTGCAAAACGGTTTCGTAAATTGTCATTACCTTAACTACTGTACATTTTATTTATAGACCCAGTGAAGAAACAAGATATAGGCAATTATACATGTAAAGCTAAGAATCTTTATGGTGAAGATGTAAAGAAGATCATTGTTCAAGTTGTTGGAGAAGTCACTTTCATCTCGGAACCGAACGATGTCATCGCAAAAAAGGGGGAATCGTTTAAATTGAAATGCGAAGCTGAAGGTACACTAATACTTCTATATAAACAATTATTTCTATTGCTTTTTATGGGAATTGTGTGTGGCCGGGCCTTGATCCTTCATATCTTGCCTAATCGGTTTCCATGTGTTGACAATACAACTTGATTGGATGAGTGTTTTGGTGTTATGGCGGGAACATGTTTTGGATAAGGATTAGTTACTGTATGTAGCATTAAAAATTACATAAGATATCTTCGGGCAAGCAGTATATGATTTCTTCGGGCGAACAGTATATGATTTTTCAAATTGATTCTTTTGCTTTAGCTCGCATTGTTACACTTTTTTTTCCAAACTTTTTTTCCATGCAGGTGACAAAGACAGTTCCTTTAGGGCCACAATCAAATACAAGTGGAAGTACAATGATAAAGATATTGAACTCAATGATACCATTGTTTGGTCTGATGACGCTCATTCCTTAGTTTTCCTCAATGCGCAGGTATAAAAAAAGAATATTTGTGAAATATTTTATAAAATCCAGTGGCCCAAATATGGTAGACCCTAACCCTAACCTTGTAGATAATCGAGTTAGATACAATACTAGAAGTTCAGAATTGTCCAGTATTAAAGTGAAATATTGCATTATTCAACCTAGGACAATCTTAATTGTTGTTTGCAGGTTCGTCAGAGTGGAAAGTATACATGTATAGCATATATCGACAAGCCATCTTATGCTGAAAAAAAAAGCTCTGCGAAAGTTGTTATACGAGGTTGGTAAAAGGTGTCCGACAAGTTTATTGTTTCCGCTAATATGAAAGCGGCACTCCGTTCGACCTCCTCACAAACGTTTGGGCCCCTGCGCCTATGAATTAAATTTTAGTCATGATCTTATATGTATTCTAATAGGTCCGCCTGAGGCACCGAATAAAGTGCAAATCGAAGGAGACTGCAGCAAATTCTCCGCGAAGTTAACATGGAATATACCGGGCAACAACTATGATCCAATCAAACACTTCATCATAGAGACGGCCACCACTTATGATACGGAGTGGCATAAAAATGAAAGCGACCATATCGATCCAAATTTGAAAGAAAAAACGATCAAAGGTCTCTCGCCCTGGACCTCTTACCGATTTCGTGTGCTAGCGTTTAATGCAATTGGCCAAAGTGATCCAAGTGAACCTACGGAATTAAAGAACTGTAAAACCCCACAGAAAGGTAATATCTTAAGTCGCTGTTGGGTTATAGAAGCGTCGAAAATATTTTTCATTAATAAAACGTTGTCGAATACTGCAAATGTTGCATTCTGATCAGCTGCGCAACTCGCTGCATAAAAATTTTCATTGGTAAACGATTGTGGAGTAATATTGGAAATGCTGCATTCTGATTGGCTTCGCAACTCGCTATAGTTTCAAAAATTAGATTACGGGGCTGGGCTCTTAGTGTATATACCTCAGTGATTGTTATTTTCGTGATGTGATTTCACTTTTCTTACATTTAGCACCATTCATTTGTCCTGCGGTTGAAGCTATACCAGGAAAAGCGAACGAATTGACCTTGAAATGGAAGGTACAGTATAAGATGGCAAGCCGTATTGTGTATACACTTCCATATCCCTTGGTGTTTTTCAACTTAATTAACTTCGGGTCTTAATTTTGTACAGGAAATTAAATTAATGGAACGAAACGGTGAATCTTTTCGCTACCTGCTGCAGTATTGGCCAGATGCATCACCTGAAAAACGTCGGAACAAAACTTTCAATCCCGTCCAATTAGAATTTGAAGTTCCTAATGCTGGGTATTATCAACTGTGGAAGTTTCAGATTCAAGGAGTAAACAAAGTCGGCGCTGGACCATACTGTACCGGGCAATCTCGTTCTGGACAAAATGGTACGTCTATCTTTCCTTAATCTTTTTTTTCTATTGTTCTTTATCTCTTGTTCTTTCGTCTATATCTTTCGCATGTCTCTCATTCTGTCTACCATTGTTTTGCTTGTAATAAACCTTATGATGTTTGCATGTAAAAAGTTCAAAAGGAAATTCCAAGTAAGCAGCAGGAGAAAACTGTAAATTTATTTGAAAAATGAAGTCCAAAGATTTCCAGTTTCATTTAACCGTTATCTTGTATGAATCGTATGGTTTATATTTTATATTCCATTCTCAATATGTCTTCTTCATTCAAATGTGTTTTGCGTTAATTGTGGACGTGCAAGGTTTTCTTATCATGTTTATGTTCATTACAGCTCCAACAGTTGCTCCTACTAAACTAACTGTGACGGAGTCTGGCGCCACATATATTGTATTGGAGTGGGAAGCAATTTCATTAGAGAGAGGAAGTGTCGATGGTTATCATGTACGTAAAAGCGTAAAGGAAACAGCGTTTTCTAATAGCGTTTGGACTTCTATTCGGCGGCTATGTATTTGTATTTATTTTTGAGTTTTTATTATTTTTAATACGTCCGGAGCCACCGGTATAACTGTGGTCTGGGACGTCTTTTAAAGTAATTTACTACCGTTGGATCGAGTACCTTGTTATTTTGAGCAAGTATCAGCTTAATATCCCCCTCTTGTTTAGTATCTCTGCTATAGAGGTGTATCGTTTTTGACATTTTAGGGTTAACCTTTAGGTTTGGACGTAACAATACAGTATGCCTCACCGTGCTGTTTATTATATTTATAGATCACATACTACACAGACTCGGAAGCCTCAGATTCGCGGCGATCTATTAGCGCAAATGATTGTGATCGAAAGAGTCCTTGTGTGCGCAATGTTATTGGCGGGAATACGAAAATTACTCGCCTAGACGGTCTTCTCCCATACACAAACTATCGAATCTCTATATACGGTTATAACAGCGGGGGCAGAGGCCCAGAAGCCAGTACATCTTACAAAACAGATCCAGACTTGCCAGGTATCCCGGAAGTCGAAGTTGAAGCATTTGCGAGATTTGTCGAAGTTTTTTGGAAGAAACCTAAACAGCCTAATGGCGAGATTACTGGATATGAAGTAGAAATTGATAAGGACGCTGATCCCAAGGTCGTAACTCTTGGTCCGACTTCTATGGAGCACACGTTCGGTGGATTGGAACCAAACAAAAGTTATGTTGTATCTGTCCGAGCAAAGACTGCCGCTGGATTTGGGCTGAAAAAAAGATACCATGTTCAAACCAAGTTACCTATACGTAAGTTCGTTTTTTATGTAAAGTTTAGTAGATGATCAATGATTCTCTGGTGTCGTCAAACGAATATGTTGATGGAACTTTTACCAAAACTGAGCTTAAAAAGATGGTGAAGATATAGATAGAATTGATAAATGCCTTCTCTGCGACAACATTTTAAGATAGTAAATATCTTAATCCTTAATCTGTTAAATACTTAATCTGTTGTAATGAGTATAATCCATTCTAATTTCTCAATATTGGAATTTAAATTTAGTTCCTGGCAAACCTAAGATTCCTATAGTAAAGGGCATCGGAGAAGATGGAGTAAACGTGACATTCCGAAGAAATAAATCAGGAGGATTCCCAGAAAAATTTATTGTTCGCTACCGTATTAAAGGTCAGATAATAGAATTCAATCGTTTGTCAATCGTAAATATAGCAAATGAAAGTTTAATTTGAAGGCTAAATTACCTAGCCCACGGACTAAAACATATTTCAGTCTGGCAAAGTATTCATTTTAGAACGCAAAATAAAATAATTTATTATAAACCATGCATGCGTTGGTGGCACAGTGATTAAATCTGTATATAGGCACGGTCTTACTGAATGCCTCATTTTATACAGTATATGCTTCAACGTCCAATCTGATAATTTTAGATGGAGGTGATTGGAATGAAACAGATCCTGTTCCATTGTACGGGCCAAACAGCAAACCCTATGTGGAGATTTTCGGGCTAGATAATGATAAGGAATATGAAATATCGACGTTTGCTGTTAACGAAAAAGGTCCAAGTGAAACGAGCGATATTGAAACTGTGAAACCAGGACAGGAGGAGGGTGAAACTCGTAAGTAACACGAAGACACTGTACGCTTAATGTATGCTCCCGAGGGAAATAGTGAATTTTGTTTTTCCAAGCGTCTGAATGGTTTCTCAGACGAAGTCAAGAGAAACATTGAGAATCGAGGGAAAACAAAATTCGCTATTTCCCGAGGTAGTGTACATTAAGTGCTTTGTTATTTAGGAACCGCAAAAACATACATGTTACACAACAATTTCATTTAAAAAAACACTTTACTTTGTTATGACAATATGTGGGCAACAATTTTTCACTTGTTTCCCTGGCGGGAAACATTGCATTCATTTAAAGTCGTGTGACTACGAATGAATTAACCAATCACGTTTCAAATACACAGCACAAATATAACAATGTTTGTGATATTGCTCAGAAAAATTTTTATATGTGTATATTTTAACTTTAAAGTTGTTGTTTTTCCAGCAATAGCTCAAAGCAGCCCAATTTACAAACGTTCATGGTTCGTGGCGATGGTGGTTATTGTCTGTCTACTCCTCATCTTGCTTCTCATTGCTTTACTCATCACAAGAAAGAGAGGCGAGAGGTATCCTGGTAAGCATCAGAAAATCTCGATTCTCCTAACCTTACTTTAAAACAAAAATATAATGCCATTTTTTCAAAATGTATCATTTGATTAAAACATATGCGTATTTTTTTCAAAGTTGGTAAACGTGAGAAAAAGAGAGCTGGAATTCTGGACGTTGGCGAAGAACCAGATTACAACATGTATCCGATGAAACCAGCAAGGTTGGCTGCAGCATTTTGAAACGCTTATGTTTATTTTATTGTCTAGAGTTGAAATGTTTATAGAAATTTAGATTATACCCCTATATAACAGATAAAATAACCAGTATGCTTAGGGCGGTTGGAGTGGGGGGGGGGTGAAGGCGTCTGGAGGGTCACCCTCCAAACAAATGCCTCAGGGGTCCGGAATTTAGAGGGCCCGCGTGGAAAATTTGAGAACATGCACGAGTTTGCTATACTCCGCCGTGTATTTGCTAGGAAATCAACATGAAGTAATACTGTCATGATTTTCACGTTTTTATAACAAAAATGAAAATCATACACTTCTAACTCAAACAATGTTAGAGCCTTATGTACGAAGAACAAATAAAATTGGTTTGATTTTGGGTTCCTAACACTAGCGGCTGTTTTCTTGTTACGTCTGCGTCGTTGATTTGTTGCATCTTTACTCGCTATCATACCACGTGTACTACCACTGTTGCTTAAGATCTCATTTCCCTCCCATTTTAGACCAAACGGTAATGGTATAAGTAGGCAAGACAGTGGAGTCTCCGATCCAAACCGTGATCCAGATCGTGACAGCTTAGACGATTACGGAGAAGATCGCTTTGATGAAGACGCGGCTTCTTTGATTGGCGCATATAATGATGACAGAAGACACAACAAGGCTGTTGATGAACCGGAATTTGTATAGCTGACTTTGGTAAAGAAAAGTTAAGTGGTGGTTTCATTGACTCAAGTTATGGTCAAGGACTGTGGAAGATGTTTACGGCTAAATGGACGCCAAAAGAGGGCGTTTTTAACTGTACAGTATATACCTTTAGTGAAAACAGCGCCATTCCAAATGTGAATTAAGGAAGCTTTTAAGGCTTGCTCGAGGATTTTTTCACACTAAATAGTGGATACTGGACATAATTCTTTACTATATACATTTTTATAAAAAAAAGTAGCTGAAATTTTTTAGATGATTTTTTTTATTTCAACTCCTACTCCTAAGCAATGTCTCTCAATGTGACAGTAAATTTTGCGTAATGTAATATTCGTGACCTGCAGGGGCTGGTTGTATAAAACTCTTTAACTACATTTTGCATAGTTAAATCCTAGTTAACTCCGAAATACACGACTCTGATTGGCCAATTCTGTCCTTAACTACAGTTAAAAGTTAACTAGTCTTATACAACTGGCCCCAGGCTGAAGCTTTGCCGGAAATTCTTTCCCATCAAGCTATACGTTGGTATAAAGGCGGTGTTACACGTTCCTTTTTCATGGACTTGCAATACAACATCTACTACTTTTGAGAGATGTAAATTTGGCAAAACTTTTGTGTTTATCACACTCCATGGTCGTTCCTTAAACTTACATTTTGAAGACTCTTCACTAATTTGTAAGAAAAATTGCACCGTGTAACATGGCCTTAACAGACCACATGCCACCTTCGCTAATATACGAAATATCGTGTTACGAGTTAAAGTGTTGTAGTGAACATAAAACATTCCATTATACATTATACATTATAGTAATTTAAAGACATTTTGGTATAAGTTGTTTTGCCAAAATATTCTGGTTAATGCAGGATACATATACTTCCATGCAGCTAGTGACCTTGGTTTATTTAAGCTAATCTATATGATTCTAAGGCTAATTATAATTAGTCTGTATATTGACGTATATAAGCTTGTAATGTTTATAGTTCCATGAGAACTGGATGATCAATCGAACAGAATGTTCAAAGAAACTGTAGAAATTCTTATGGGTATTTATGATAAATAAAGATGAGAAACTTGTAGATTAACCCTGCCCAGAACTTCAAATAATTTTCTTATATATTGTAAGAAGTATTGATTTGCGAAATGTTCCACAACTGTGCGTGTATTTTTTGCCAAGGGTTAGCTTTATCGCAGCCTGGTAGTGCTTTTTAGAGGATATAGTCAGGATACCATCATACCCACATGTACGCGTTGCGTATATATTTTTTAAAAAGCTCCTTCCTTGGTAGTGGTGGTACGACTGTGGAAGGAGTGCAGTTTAGCCGCACGTTTTTTAAAGAACTTTCATTTTTATTAAAGAATGGTTCGTTAGATACGTTTTTTACGCGAATATGAGTTCATTCGCGGGGAAATTGAAGGAATATTCCCATTTTTCTGTCGATTGTTTTGACAGGAACAGTTTGGTTTGTGATTTCGGATTGTAATTTATTCAAGGTCTACTTTACAGTTATGCATTATTTAGAAGATTGAAGAATCTGATTTTACCTTTAGTTCAGTTATAACCTTGCTCAAAAGTTTAACTTAAGTTATAATCTCACCAAAACTACAAAAAGTTAATAGTTGAAAGTTAAAGTCTTCTTGATATTTGGACATATAAGGTATGTTTGTTAGGACAATGATAAATGTTCTTTTAGCATTAGGCTAAATTTATTGACCTTTTAATATCACATTGGGTTTGGCTAATACGTATTTGTAGATCAATAGACCTTCAAATCATTATCTGTTTAGTGCAAAAGAAACTGATTTTGAAACTGATTTTTATCATATATGACACTGTCGTTTATAGCATGTCCTAATGCCCTAAGCATAAAATATCATCAGTACAACCTATCTGGAGAAGCTGCCCAATACTGAAGAAACTATCTGTATACAATAATCAACAAGCGATGATCTGTGCACAATGGAACACATTTGGGGTCTTGTATAATCAGTTCAAATGAAATGAGGATATGCAAAACTATACTTGTGACCATTATTAATTCCTGTTAAGATATTGGCTTGAGCAACAATTAGCTATTTCCTTTTTTCTATTCTTTTGCTGCATATATGAAAATAAACATCACAATGGACAATACTGAACTTGAATCTATATTGGTTCTTCAGTGAGTTCTTCCTTGTCAACTAGCATAACAATACCTATGTGACAACCGGTTTGTCCAATATTGCTAAAATTCAATTTTGTTGAAATTTGCTTATTATTGAAAGTATTTCGGAAAAGATGTAGATGTTAGCCGTTCAGTACTAGTATGCTTTAATTCACATTTTATTTTGGCGAAAATTTACCTTTCGTTCTCAGGACCGTAGCTAGACGGCTTAATTTTTTTTTGAGGGGGTGTATATTCATATATTCATGTTTACATGTAGGAACAATATATATATATATATATATATATATATATATATATATAATTATATATATATATATATATATATATATATATATATATATACAGTCAAAAGAGATCAGAAAGCTCTCAATCTGTCAATCGAATGTCTGGACCTGCAGTTGCTAATAAGAATATGTAGTAATATTTTTTGTTCTGTTATAATAATATAATAATCTGTGACCTTCACGGTTAATTTGGGTTGGTCGTTTTGTTGGCTTCTGCTGACAACGGTGATTTTCAGGTGTGTGCCCGAGGATCTGGTAATGAATTAATGTGACTATATCAATCATGATATTTTGATTACGGAAATTAGTGCATTGCCATTGAAGCTCATGAAATTCTTGAACTCTTTTGGCAATAATAACGAGTTTTCTTCCATGGTGTGGTAGCTGACGTGCGTTTAAATTCCGTTAGAAAACATTGAAAAATCGAGTCTAAAAGCTGTTTTTGAGGTACTAAGGAAATTTTCTTCCGCATCTGCTGGGTAAAGGGTGGCCACTGATACGGTGTCACTTCAACAAGTTTGACTGTACTCTTAAATCTATCTTCAGAACCCCTGAACTCTGACTTATCTGTTCTTACAAAACTGGAGGATGATTTGGTTGCTTCTGTTTGCACTGGCCTTAGTTTCTGGTAAGTACATTTCAAGTCTTACATACTTGTATATGTTGAGCTCAGAAACCCCGTGGTCCGTGGATCAACTATTTCATTGTGAGAACATCCTTCATTCGTCTACATTTGTTTACAGGATACCTAACAAAATACCCTCTAACAATTGAATCTAGTGGTTTAAAATAATGAATGGAAATAGGATAATCATAAAATGCGAACAGGCATTTAAATTTCATACGGAAACAATTAATCTGTTGCCTGCTGGAGAAGGCACGAAGCTCTCAGTTTTTAGAGTGTAAATTTATTTATAAATCTATAACAATCTATATATTACAAATCTTGCTTTAAACTGCGTTTAGTTAACTTAGTAGAAAAAACAACTTTTTAGGGCAGGAAAAAATTCCTAAAATATTCAAAGATGCCGACGACGTTTACACCTTCCCGGATAATTTTCAAAGATTGGTAGTGAAAACAAACGATGTCCCGTCCGCGAGTTACTATTGGCTAAAAGATGACAAAAAGATCACATGGAAAACTGAGCCAAAATTTCTTCAGTATGACCAACGAATATTGATGCCAGAAACTAAAGACAAAAAATATGCTGGAAAATACCAGTTTGTGATGGTAACAAATGCTGGAACAATCAAAGGAAGAGAAGTCAAAGTTGAATTTACTTGTAAGTACTACCTGCAGAAAATCTTAGCACTTAGATGCTATGCAGCTAAAAAGGGTCATCTTTCATGATATTTTCGACCTTGTATAAAACTGCATACAAAACGTCACATGTTGAATAATTAATAATAATATCGTTTTAATATGTCCTTTTTTTCTGCAATCCCATTTAGCTCAATTGTTTACTATATATTAACCCATGTCACTGTAAAGATTCAAATAATATAAGATACATATCTCTTCGGGTGATTCAGTTGTTATTCATCACCCATAGTTGATTATTTCTCCTTTCGTTCACATTCACTCGGCGTGCCATTAATCATACCTTCATATTATTTTGTACGTCAAAGATGCTGGGGAATTTGACCTAACCGTCCCCTCAAACCGGACAGAAGATGTCGTTGTTGGTCAGGCAAATTTTATCAAATGTCCAAAGCATGAACCTGGTTCAAATGTAATCTACAAATGGGGAAAATCGACTGCCATAACTGGGACAAAGTTTCTAGAGATCAAACCAAACTATATAGTTTTGGATGACGGAACATTGTTCTATTCGCATCTTACTGAAGAAAATGCAGATCAATTTAATAAATACGGGTGGGTATGCGGCATGGAGGCAAAAGTCGGTGACAAGAATCAATTCGGTTTCGCTGAGCATGTAATAACAACATTCAAAATAGTTAAAAGTAAGTGTGGTTATTGAAATGTTATGTATAACGTTCTTTTTCGTGTGCCACAATACAATTATTGTATTTTAAATTATCATGTTTATTTAACAGTTTTAGATTCAAATAAACTAAAAAAAATAAATCTATCGTAACTTTGTTCGGCAGCAAACTTGACAGAATTTGGGCCAAAGATTGTCACGAGGCTGCCGCAGAACAAACGATTTCAGGAGGGAGACACCATATCAATGAAATGTGCCGCCGCTGGAAGGTATGTGGGTGCATGAAGTGAAATTCTGCTCTGTTTCATTTACTCAAACGGCAATATCACTGTTATCAAGTAAGAAAGATCAAATACTGTGCAGTAAGATACAGTACCTAATAAATGTTGTGTTTTTAGACCAACTCCTTCGTATTCTTGGAAGAGAATTGATGTTGAGGGCAAAGAACATGCAATTGTGAATGGCAAAGGTGGCATGAAATTTGAGGACGGTGATACCAGACTCCTTGTCCTGAATTCTGCAAAAAGAGAGCATTCAGGTCGATATTTCTGCACGGCTTCGATTGGGAACAAAAATGATACTGTCGAGGGTTCTTTAATGTTTGAAGGTATTATATATAATAGCTACTACGTACGTACATGGGAGGACTATGTTTATTATCGGTGGGTATATTGATACAGAAAAAATACTGTACTTTGCGGGAAATAGCTTCATTAACTCATTTTTTCTAACAGTTGAACCAAAATGGGTTGCTAAGGACATCGAATCTGTGGAGCCGTCAATCTATACCAGTCATTCTTGGACATGCAATGCCACGGGGTTCCCGGCGCCGAAATACAAATGGTATAAAAATGGTGATCAAATCCAAAGCAGGTACAATATACTTTACAATATATACGCAACTTTAACGAAAATTACCAGTGAGAAATGAAGGTGCAAATTTTAATGTGTTTTCATATCTGAACAACACGGAAGCATTTTGATTCATTTGAAAATTCGGCGACAATAAGTTCCTGTCAATGTAGTTCTTTAGTCGCTTGTTTTAGGGTATTTGAATTTGTAATTATGACTCAATAAAGATACATGCATGGAGTTACAGACTTGGAAACATAATTTGTCATTTGGAGGTGATGAAAACGTAATAAACGTTATTATTATTCAACCGTCACGTGCACCGACAGAACCTTTTTTTATTATTCAGCAAGACGCATGTAATTGATAAAGGGACAATTACTTTTCCAAATTTGACACAAGCTGATACTGCCATGTATCAGTGTGTAGCTGAGAATACCGTGGACAATATCCATCAAACTGCATATTTAGATGTTCAAGGTAGGTTCCTCGTTGTCCCTGATACGGATTCCTTCTAAGGGGTAGTTTCAAAATATTATTTCCTGATCAGTTTTTTTTCTGTAAAAGGGGATCTTTATCTAAAACTGTGAAATTTTATTTGTTAATGTAGCTGAGAAACCTGTCTTCAACATGAACACTGGCAAGACAACACTATTCCTGGGCGCGAAAGGGACGATTAGATGTCATGCTAAAGCTGCTCCTGCTGCTAAAAACACGTGGGAAAAAAGATGGAGTCAAGACAGATTTCTCTTTCTCGCGATATACACTGGTTAACAATGAACATCTTCTCATAGGTATATCGATCATTATTGTAGATATAAGGGTTTGCGTAGGTCATAATGGGTATACGTTCGTAACGTACGCTTGAAGACAGTCATTAAAAAATAGCTCCAATTTAAGAATACTAACGTTTAATCAAAGTTATTTACCAAACAACAACAATTTTTTTACGGCTGATAAACGACTATCCGGTGGCTATCCAGTCTTCTTACAACCAGCCCCAGCATTGCTTTGCGTACGGTTTCTTAAATTGTCATTACCATAACTACTGGACATTTTATCTATAGACCCGGTGAGCAAACAAGATATAGGCAATTATACATGTAAAGCTAACAATCTTTATGGTGAAGATGTAAAGAAGATCATTGTTCAAGTTGTTGGAGAAGTCACTTTCATCTCGGAACCGAACGATGTCATCCCAAAAAAGGGGGAATCGTTTCAATTGAAATGCGAAGCTGAAGGTACACTAATAATTCTATATTAACAATTATATCCATTACTTTTTTGTTTGTGGCCGGGCCCTGATCCTTGCTATCTTGCCTAATCGGTTTCCATGTGTTGACAAGACAACTCGGTTGGATCAGCGTTTTGGTTTTATGGCGGGAACAGGTTTTGGATAAGGATTAGTTACTGACTGATGTAACATTAAGAATTACATGAGATATCTTCGGGCAAGCAGTATATGATTTCTTCGGGCGAACAGTATATGATTTTTCATATTGATTCTTTTGCTTTAGCTCGCATTGTTAGACTAAGTAAGGATCTTTAAACTCTTTTTCCATGCAGGTGACAAAGACAGTTCCTTTAGGGCCACAATCAAATACAAGTGGAAGTACAATGATAAAGATATTGAACTCAATGATACCATTGTTTGGTCTGATGACGCTCATTCCTTAGTTTTTCTCAATGCGCAGGTATAAAAAAGAATATTTGTGAAATATTTTATAAAATCCAGTGGCCCAAATATGGTAGACCCAAACTCTAACCTTGTAGATAATCGAGTTAGATACAATACTACATAGAAAATCAGTATTGTCCAGTATTAAAGTGAAATATTGCATTATTCAACCTAGGACAATCTTAATTGTTGTTTGCAGGTTCGTCAGAGTGGAACGTATACATGTATAGCATATATCGACAAGCCATCTTATGCTGAAAAAAGAAGCTCTGCGAAAGTTGTTATACGAGGTCAGTAAAAGGTGTCCGACAAGTTTATTGTTTCCGCTAATATGAAAGCGGCACTCCGTTCGACCTCCTCACAAACGTTTGGGCCCCTGCGCCTATGAATTAAATTTTAGTCATGATCTTATATGTATTCTAATAGGTCCGCCTGAGGCACCGAATAAAGTGCAAATCGAAGGAGACTGCAGCAAATTCTCCGCGAAGTTAACATGGAATATACCGGGCAACAACTATGATCCAATCAAACACTTCATCATAGAGACAGCAACCACTTATGATACGGAGTGGCATAAAAATGAAAGCGACCATATCGATCCAAAGTTGAAAGAAAAAACGATTAAAGGTCTCTCGCCCTGGACCTCTTACCGATTTCGTGTTCTAGCGTTTAATGCAATTGGCCAAAGTGATCCAAGTGAACCTACGCAATTAGAGAAGTGCAAAACCCCACAGAAAGGTAATATCTTGATTCGCTGTTGCGTTATACAAGCGTCGAAGATATTTTTCATTGGTAAAACGTTGTCGATTTAATACTGCAAATGTTGCATTCTGATCAGCTGCGCAACTCGCTGCAATAAAAATTGTGAAGTAATATTGCAAATGCTGCATTCTGATTGGCTGCACAACTCGCTATGGTTTCAAAAATTAGATTACGGGGCTGAGCTCTTAGTGTGTGTATAACTCAGTGATTGTTTTTTTCGTGATGTGATTTCACTTTTCTTACATTTAGCACCATTCATTTGTCCTGCGGTTGAAGCTATACCAGGAAAAGCGAACGAATTGACCTTGAAATGGAAGGTACAGTATAAGATGGCAAGCCGTACTGTGTATACACTTCCATATCCCTTGGTGTTTTTCAACTTAATTAACTTCGGGTCTTAATTTTGTACAGGAAATTAAATTAATTGAACGAAACGGTGAATCTTTTCGCTACCTGCTGCAGTATTGGCCAGATGCATCACCTGAAAAACGTCGGAACAAAACTTTCAATCCCGTCCAATTAGAATTTGAAGTTCCTAATGCTGGGTATTATCAACTGTGGAAGTTTCAGATTCAAGGAGTAAACAAAGTCGGCGCTGGACCATACTGTACCGGGCAATCTCGTTCTGGACAAAATGGTAGGTCTATCTTTCCTTAATCTTTTTTTTCTATTCTTCTTTGTTCCTTCGTCGTTATCCTTTGCATGTCTCTCATTAATTCTGTCTACGATTGCTTTGCCTATAATAAATCTTATGATGTTTGCATATAAAAAGTTCAAAAGGAAATTCCGAATAAGCAGCAGGAGAAAACTGTAAATTTATTTGAAAAATGAAGCCCAAATATTTCCAGTTTAATTTAACCGTTATCTTGTATGAATCGTATGGTTTATATTTTATATTCCATTCTCAATATGTCTTGTTCATTCAAATGTGTTTTGTGTTAATTGTGGACGTGCAAGGTTTTCTTATCATGTTTATGTTCATTACAGCTCCAACAGTTGCTCCTACTAAACTAACTGTGACGGAGTCTGGCGCCACATATATTGTATTGGAGTGGGAAGCAATTTCATTAGAGAGAGGAAGTGTCGATGGTTATCATGTACGTAAAAGCGTAAAGGAAACAGCGTTTTCTAATAGCGTTCGGACTTCTATTCGGACTTCTATTCTATTATTTTTGAGTTTTAAATATTTTTAATACATCCGAAGCCACTGGGATAACTGTGGCTTGGACGTCTTTTAAAGTAATTTACTATCGTTGCATCGAGTATCATTTTAATTTTGAGCAAGTATCAGCTTAATATTTCCCCCTCGTCTTTAGTATCTCTGCATGGTAGAGGTATATCGTTTTTTGACATTTTTAGGGTTAACCTTTAGGTTTCGACGTAACAATACAGTATGCCTCACCGTGCTGTTTATTATATTTATAGATTTACATACTACGCTGATTCGCAAGATTCGCGGCGATCTATTACCGCAAATGATTGTGATCGAAAGAGTTCTTGTGTGCGCAATGTTATTGGCGGTGAAACGAAAAGTACTCGCCTAGACGGTCTTCTCGCATACACAAACTATCGAATCTCTATATACGGTTATAACAGCGGGGGCAGTGGCCCAGAAGCCAGTACATCTTACAAAACAGACCCAGACTTGCCAGGTATCCCGGAAGTCACAGTTAAATCATTTGCGAAATTTATCACAGTTTTTTGGAATGAACCTAAACAGCCCAATGGCGAGATTACTGGATATGAGGTAGAAATTGGTAAGGACGCTGAACCCAAGGTCGTAACTCTTGGTCCGACTTCTAAGGAGCACACGTTCGGTGGATTGGAACCAAACAAAAGTTATGTTGTATCTGTTCGAGCAAAGACTGCCGCTGGATTTGGGCTGAGAAAAAGATACCATGTTCAAACCAAGTTACCTATACGTAAGTTCGTTTTTTTAAGTAAAGTATAGTAGATGATCAATAATGATTCTCTGTTTTCGTCAAACGAATATGTTGATAGAACTTATACCGAAACTGAGCTTAAAATGATGTTGAAGATATTCATAGAAACTCGCTAAAACTCGGAAAACAAAACTCGCTATTTCCCGAGATAGTGTACATTAAATGTTTTGTTATATAGGAACAAAGACATTCACAAAAAAACCCCACTTTCTCTGTTATGGCAAGAAGCGGGCAACAATTTTTCACTTGTTTCCCTGGCGGGAAACATTGCATTTTAAAGTCATGTGACTACGAATGAACCAATCACATTTAAAATACACAGAACCTATATAACAAAAGAAGATGTCTCATTATCTTACCAATTTTGAACTCGTGTGTGTCTGGATTAGCTTAAAGGTTTTATTCCGTTAAGACACAATATAAGGCAGCCAAGGCCTGCCAAGAAATTGGGAATCATTTAAATAATAGATAGATATCACTATAGGCTCGGTTCAAATTAACATTGAATTTGTTGTTTTTCCAGCAAAAGCTCAAAACAGTCCAATTTACAAACGTTCATGGTTCGTGGCGATAGTGGTTATTGTCTGTCTACTCCTCATTTTATTTCTCATTGCTTTACTAATCACAAGGAAGAGAGGTGAGAGGTATCCTGGTAAGCATCAGAAAATCTCGATTCTCCTAACCTTACGTAAAACAAAACTATAATGCTATTTTCTCAAAATGTATCATTTGATTAAAACATTTCCCTTTTTTTTCAAAGTTGGTAAACGTGAGAAAAAGAGAGATGGAATTCCGGACGTTGGCGAAGAACCAGATTACAACATGTATCCGATGAATCCAGCAAAGTAGGCTGCAGCATTTTGAACGCTTATGTTTATTTTATTGCCTAGAGTTGAAATGTTTATAGAAATTTAGATTATACCCATATAACAGATAAAATAACCAGTATGCTTAGGGCCGTGGGAAGGGGGGGGGGGCGTCTGCAGGGTCACGCTCCAAACAAATGCCTGAGGGATTTTATTTCAACTCCTACTCCTAAGCAATGTCTCTCAATGTGACAGTAAATTTTGCGTAATGTAATATTCGTGACCTGCAGGGGCTGGTTGTATAAAACTCTTTAACTACATTTTGCATAGTTAAATCCTAGTTAACTCCGAAATACACGACTCTGATTGGCCAATTCTGTCCTTAACTACAGTTAAAAGTTAACTAGTCTTATACAACTGGCCCCAGGCTGACGCTTTGCCGGAAATTCGTTCCCATCAGGCTATACGTTGGCATAAAGGCGGTGTTACACGTTCATTTTTTCATGAATTCGCAATACAAGTACAACACCTACTACTTTTGAGAGATGTTAATTTGGAAAAACTTTTGTGTTTATCACACTCCATGGTCGTTCCTTAAACTTACATTTTGAAGACTCTTGACTAATTTGTAAGAAAAATTGCACCGTGTAACATGGCCTTAACAGACCACATGCCACCTTTGCTTATATACGAGATATCGTGTTACGAGTGAAAGTGTTGTAGTGAACATAAAACATTACTATAAAACATTAATTTAAAGACATTTTGGTATAAGTTGTTTTGCTAATACATTCTGGTTAATGCAGGATACATATACTTCCATGCAGCTAGTGACTTTGGTTTATTTAAGCTAATCTATATGATTCTAAGGCTAATTATAATTAGTCTGTATAATGACGTATATAAGCTTGTATTGTTTATAGTTCCATGAGAGCTGGATGATCAATCGAACAGAATGTTCAAAGAAACTGTGGAAATTCTTATGCGTATTTATGATAAATAAAGATGAGAAACTTGTAGATTAACCCTGCCTAGAACTTTAAATAATTTTTATATATAATAAATTGTAAGAAGTATCGATTTGCGAAATGTTCCACAACGGTGGTTGTTCCCACATGTACGCGTTGCGTATATATTTTTTTATAAAGCTCCTTCCTTGGTACTTGGTACTTGGTAATGGTGGTTAACGACAGTGGAAGGAGTGCAGTTTAGCAATACGTTTTAAAGAACTTTCGTTTTTATTAAAGAATGCTTCGTTAGATACGTTTTTACGCGAATATGAGTTCATTCGCGGGGAGATTGAAGGAATATCCCCATTTCTCTGTCGATTGTTTTGACAGGAACAGTTTGGATTGTGATGTATATTTTCTTTCCCATTGTCATCAGGGTATGTATGTGTCTTTACACTGTCGATATGTCAACAATCGTAGTCAAAAAGACTATACTGTCAGTCTGTTGTGCTACTGATGCTTTAGTGGATAGGCTAGAATGGCAAAATGCTAGATGGCTTGATGATGATTGTATTTTTCATGATGATGATTGTATTTTTAAGATCATATGAGTGGAATGGACTCAGCAGCATTCCATCATCGACTTCAGACAAGGTACAATCATTGACAATGACTATCATAGTTAAAGTATTAGACTAAACTGACAGTACCCTATACTGTGTAGGTGTAAAATGAAGAGATATAAAATTATTTCTATAAACTTTACCAATATAATTGCTCATTTGTTATCAGGGATAGTTCTTATAGGGACTAGCTAAAGCTTAGCAATGATTATTCCATTTCCTGATACATTTATGCATCAATTGACCTTTGTTGAAATATTAGATTTTCTAGTAGCATAGTAATGATTGTATTAATATGTTTTTGCTGTTGGCCTTCATGCACATATAAAGTTGCATGCATTGACATGTCAATACATTAAGACATATACAGTATTTGAGTAGAATATTTTAATAAGACAGGCCCAGATTTTTATAATTTAATTGTTTAAAACTATTCAATTTAAGCTTAAATAATGTAATGTTTTTAGCCCAAATGCATTCATCTACTGCTCTGAAACAACTCGAAATATTCTCCTTTGTGATGAAAGATACAAACATTTAAAAATGTATTTGGTATGTACTCTGAAAGGCATTATCATTCATGTTTTATACCTAGTCTGATAAAAGGATGCACTTACAGATAGTAATATTTGCAAGTAGTCCTAAAAATTATACTACTTTTGTCTTCTTGTCATTTTTATACTTTCATTCCTAAAGTTTGGATTGCCAATAGAACATCTCACAAACATCACTTACAACAATACTGAAAATGGAAAGGCAAGTTGCATCACAATGTTTGTCATCAGTGTTGACTATGTCTTTAAAAGCCAGCTATAATTCTTTATCATATTTATTTAGAGTGAAACAATATCTGTGACATTGTTATCAGCTGGTCACTGTATTGGATCGGTCATGTATGCATGTTTTATGTTGTTTTAATTTGTTTATTCTGAACAATTTAATTGATATCCTTTTTGTGACATTATTAATTTAGGTTTCTGTTTGAAGGAGTTGCTGGCACAGTTTTATATACAGGTAAAATGGGTTTCATTGACTAACCAGGGATCTATATTCTATATGTAGGATTTCTATGGCTATTGGGGATTCATGCCCCAGCAATCTATGTTGCTGGCTCAGGGAATAAGACCATTTGGCTCAATCCCCTCATTCCAAAATTAACTCAATACCTTGCAGTGCAATACTAGAGTGATGCCTTTTGTGGACCAAGTTGCATCTATAGTCTGTGTATTATTTGACCACAACATGAAGTTTGCTGAAGCTTTCATGTAGTGGGTGTTTGTATATGTAGTCCAGAGTTTGAAAATCTACTCAAAAGGCCTTTGTAGCACTTGTAATCAAATTGACAGGCAACCCATGCTAAGTACTCTCCTTGTTGAATGGTCAAGTTGAACCTATGATAAATGACACAAACCCTATCAGTTTTCTGATTACCTTTTTTACTTCAGGTGATTTCCGCTGGAGTAAGGGCGATGCTAGCCGAATATCATTTTTCCATTCTGGGGATAGGTACTGTATATAGGTACATTTCATTTCATTTCAAAAAGAGAAAATCACAGCAATAATTTGAAGAGTATCATTGGCTCTTCTAATAACAAAAATCACTGTGTAGTGTGTACAGGAACTTCCAGAATTTCTCTTGTACTTCTCTAGTGTGAAGGATATAAGCAGTATTTATGTTGACACAACGTTTTATTTGTCTCAAATGAAACACATTCCAACTAGAGTGAGTGTAGTATATATAATTATGTGTTTATAACTGTGTGTTTATAACTGTGTGTTTATATTGGGCTCGACTACTGCCTGTTTTCTCCTTTTTTTTGTTAGTTGTGGGGACGCTGGGGTACATTACGAATATTCAAATAGGGACACTAGTAGATTATAATTCATTCCAAAATGATTCTTCTCCAAGCCACCTCTATAAACTTTACAAGTACAAAGGGGCCTTATAGGAGCTTCTCCACAGGGACAATCCTTTCTTTTATTATTTAAGCGACTTTTCTTTTTCGGAGATGTAATAAACAGGCAGTTTATTATTTAACCAATTTCAACAAGAGAAGACATGTTGTCTACATGATTATAAATACACCCGAAAGTCGGTCCTTCCCTGAGACAACCTTTATCTAGAAAGGCCAGTGAACGGTCATTTAGGTCTCGTAGACCCACACCAACGAGTGATGGCTTTAGTGTCAAATGGTGTCAACAATATTTAAATATAGAACTCGACCAAGAACGCCGTTATCAAACTTATAAAACGGTAAGATGATAAAAAAGTAACGTAGCAAGATTATATAATTGAGCCTTTTGAGGGCCTGTTTACGTACTGCATGTTTACGATTTAGAAAAATGCAGAACACAAATATCAAGCCAAGCTCGAGAGAATGCACTTACAAGTTTATTATATTGCATTGAGATTCCTATATTTCAACCTGATTATAGTTGGTTGTCAAAAGGTTCGAACTACTACGTGAGCTTGCTGTGTAAAGGAATGTATGGTTATGAATATTTATTGAAAGAAGTTGCTATGGCTTTGAACACAAAGGTATATATAATATAATAAAATAGGACATTCAATGAAGAGTAGTACTGTTCACGAGTGTGCGAGTACTAATGCTCGTATTTTGCTAGATACATGTGAGTGCAGAGAGGCTGTCGTTGTATAAGAATCTACCAGACATGATAAAGCATTTCACGATCAAAGCAGAAGACACAAGGATTCATTGTTGTAATTGGCAGGTTTGCTAGAATTAATTTATATTCGCTCAATACAATCAGAGGATGAAAATGATTGTGCGAACTGCGAGGTAACCTGCCTTTTCTTTCTAGCATATAAGGAATGTTAATTCAAAGCTTCCATGTGGATATTCACTACCTGCGCCTGTCAAAGTTAATGTTATTAAGATTAAAGCTACCAGTATGTTTTTTGCTCGGCGTACTAATCCTTTACCTGGTGATGGCATCTTGTAAGTCAGGTATTAGCTAATACCTTAGCACACTACACAAATATTAAACAATTGCATTCGTACTGCTCTAGACCGTGAACAGTACCACACTACACTTTGCTATATGATATTATACAACGCAAGTAGCTCAGTATACTTGTCAATAATGTTACAACAAACACCATATCATCACTAGTTCATTATATACACCACACTAATCTGTTTTTTATACTGTATTTGTACAGAATGCCTTACTGTACACTAAATCGCACATTTTACTACACCTAAAGGTACAATGCATTACCTTTTTCATATTGCTGTTCTCGAAATTAGATCTTACAGCCTTTTTTTACGTTTCGTTTCTTCCTGCAGTCAAGTAGATAAAGATTTCTTTCGGGTGGTACATTCCATGCACGCTTCAATGGAAGAGGTAAACAATTTTTTTTCATTTATTATTTCGTCTGATACAATTGAATTCTTGGGTACTGAAGACCGTGTACAATTGAGAATAGGCTTCATTTGAACAACTGTTTGAATACGCACTTACGAACAAGATTCAAATTTGAAGCCGACAAAATTCCCTGCATTCGTAGTGGCAGGTGAAGCTTACAAATTGACAACTTCTTTTTCTTAGATAATAGATTTAGTGAGTTATCTTCGTCCGTTGAATGTATATCCTACAGTGGAACCAGCTGGAATTCACTCATTAAAGGACACCCAAGAAAGGTAACTTCAAAAATATACGTACGTACATACATGGAGATATTCTTGTCACGAAGTTTTACCAGGATAATATACTTATTACGAAATATTACGGCAAGTCATTTTGCTACGCCCTAACTGTAGCTCTCGCACTATCGTTGCCCAGTCAGTTCTCACTAGGAGGCACGACTCACCAGAGGCCGGAATTAGGTGTGAACAGGCCTTCAGTATAAGCCGTCGACCTATGCAGGTTCGTTCTAGGGTAAAAATATCGAAGATAGGAACAGGTTATATACGGTCCATATACACGTTGATATATATGGTTGCTTTTTGTGAAGTAATTCCTGAGGGGCGAGGATTGAAAGTAGGAGGGTCGGCAATAAGCTTGGACTAGCCCAGTTTATTCTGCACATGTTTTTTGTTTTTCAGCTTGCAACAGTATACTCGATGTGAAGTTAAAATGAACAAGACGATAAAAAACACCCCGACATCTCGAGATGCCGATGAAGAGAACCCAACTTCATTCAAAGAACAAAAATCATCTGTGTTTTCCGGTGCATCTCTCTTGCGTTACACCCCAAGCGTTGAAGGTGAGCTGATTACGTTTTTTTGGAAAACCTTACTACCCTTTGCACGAAACCGACATAGTTGCCACATGATTCCATTACAGCGGGTTTTCTCGTCAAATTTCGCATGTTTTGTATTTTTCTAGACAAGAAATCTAGTTCATGTTTATTTTAAATAAAAGTATAGTAAATCAATATTGTGTTTGATATACAGGCAGTAAATCATATTGTAGGAAATGAAATAAGAGCAAGTTTTAAATTCACATCAAGTAAAATCTAGCCTAGGTATCCTTCTACGGTTTAATCTGGGTTGTAACAAACTACGGTACAAAGACAGAGAAAATTTTTTGTTATAGGTCATAGTGCTGTATTTGATATTTGGATTTCTATTTGACGTTGTTTTTAATTACAGTATTAGCAGAATGTAGACAGTTGGGGCTGGAGAACGAAAATTTTATGGGATTGTCACGTCGAAGAAAACGTAGAAATAATCAATCACCAAACGGGAGAGCATCCTGTGAAATAAAGAACGTGTGTACAGACTCCACTGAAGTTCCCCATGAAAAATGTCGCATTGTTGACAGCTAGCGCTTCAAAGATAAATTGGAGAACCCCTCTACATCCTAAACGTATGGAGGTCGGATCTTTTTGCACTATATTGTGCTTTTTACTGAAATATTGTTATATAGTATTAATATATAAATAACTATTTTAAAAATGATAACGTTTTTAACAATTTTAACTGCATTTAAGAAAATTGTGTTACGTCCTTTATTCTTTTCTAAATGATTTATTCTGTGCTTACACTTCACCATTTTCATCTTTTTTATATTCTTGAACGGCACTAATTCTCGTCTCGTTTTGTCGTTTCACAAACGAAAAAAGGGGCACTAAGGGAGCTACTTCTTGACTTCTTCAACTGTAGACGCACAACGATGGCACATTCGAGGAATGAGCCGTTGCGGGCGCTGCGTCTGAACGCAACCCGGCTATATAAGTTGCTTTAGTTCCAAAATAGATTTTTGGGCCGCAAACGCACTGCGACCGAAAAATTCCACGGAGTTGTGGAAGGTGAAATTACAGGGTGACTCAGTCCGCTCTCTCAGTGAGAAAGCACTTTTGTATTGTGAATGACCCCGCTGTCCTTTGTATCGCAGGTGAATAATACAGAGATTACTGACCGAGATAGAAGCTTCGTCTCATAGCAACAAGCTACAATATGGCTGGTAAAATTTGACTTATTAGAATTAGAACGTTTTTGCAACATAATTGTAACATGCAGGGAATTTATGAGTTTTCAAGCGCGGATAGAGTTAAAAGACTCGAAGATGACCTCTCTAACGAGTTAAAAGAGCTTCAAAACGCGATCGAAGAAAATGACTTTTTAAAAGTTACTAAATCGTCACAGCAGAAATCCTTTAGGTATGCAAGTCTTGGGTACATAGTTTTTGTTTTGAACTGTTCGTATCACTCTTTTTTATAACTTATATCACTACAAACATTAAAGAATATTCTGGATTTTTGTTGAACTTACAGTTGTTAACTGCAAACGTTAATCAAGTTGCCCATTCTCATTGATATAGCTCTGTACAACTTCCAAAAGATGCTGGACATTTTCAAAGGGAGAGAAAGATTGCTCTCACTAAGGCTTTACGGGTATGCTTATTATTTTATTCCACAGGAACAATTTTTTACGAGATAATAGTTATTGATTTCTTTATTCTTACCATTTTGAAGTAATATTACTAGTGTTGGAACAGATCACTGCAGGATGCCTGGGTGCAATTTTATCTTGAAATTATGTTTACTAGATGGTATTCATTAAGAATTTTTAAGCTTATATCATTGGAGATATATTAGAATATTATTACCCTGGCTTATACACAAATTTTCTTGTAAGAAATATATATTTTGCATGCACACTTGTGATGCATGTATAGACAAAAGATCAAATGGATTCTCATATTGAGGAAAATTTGTAAAATACATTTGACAAAAAGGACCTTATTCATGCACATTTTGTATTTCCAACATTATAAATTGCATTATTGCCAATTAATGTACTTGCAGGTGCGAGAGGCAAGAGATCTGGAGTGTCAAGCAGATACAATGATGGAGGAAATTACAATATGTGGAAAAGAAGAATACACTAATAAAAGTTTACCCCTTTTACTCCATCAGGTTTGAAACTTAGAGAAAAATGTATAGTATTGTCATTGCCTCATATATAGTAAATATGATTGTGATGATAAAATTTGACCCATGGCTGTAGAGCCACTGTTAACTGCATGTGGTAGGTATAAACAACTATTTTTTCTTTATAATAGAACTATCATCTTACTAGTTCCTTTTGCAAAGGGTAAAGAACTGTTAACAGGGTCAACTTTCATGCACCATGGATGCATTATTGCATACCTGCTAAAGGCTGCTATTACTATTTAGTTAATAGAGAATTTAAACTAATTTTCCATTTTAAATCATATTTTTAGTTTTACGTAGACAGGATTAAAGAACTGGTGCATTGTAAACACATGCATATGTTGAGATGGGCGAGATTTTGTGAGCATACAAAAACAATTGAAACACTATATCCTGCTTACCAAGGACTAATAATTGATGAAAATTCATATATTCATATATGCTATCATACTGACTTCTCTCATTGAATAATTTGTATTGAGTAATTTATTTTTCCAATTAATTTCGAGCAATTCAATCATATATGCAATCATATAGTTTGGCATTTCTGAATAATTAGTCAATGAACTAGCCAGATCAGGTGGAATAGAAAATAAGATTTAAGTTTGGGTTTCATGCGTTTGAAAGGGCAAGTTTTGTTTGGAAATCTAGCTATCACCCTAAAATCGGCTTTTGTTTTCTATAACTTTGATTAGATCTTAGTATTCCGAAATTCCTAAATAGAGGACCTCTTTAACCATAGTTGGTCCCATAGATTAAATTTTATCGCTTTTCAAGCACATATTCAGCTTCCGTACAACCAGCCCCTGTACAGTGGTGTTGACCATGCAGTGAAATAACTTATCTGCTATGAAAGCTTATTAAAATAAGTAGATGCACAATGTGACCCTTGAAATTGTAATGGTGTATCATAGTATGCATTTACGCCTTTTTGAAGAAGCATAGGAGGCCTCAGGCCTGTGGCAAGTTAAAACCTTAAACCTATACGTCCTGTCGATAACAAAGCAATCCTCTTTACGGTATTAACGGTGCCCCCCTGCAGTACGTTCTCCGCATACACAGTATATTTCTTATTTCCTAGTATATTTCTTATTCCCTTTGGGCTAAGGCGCAACGCAACTTTCTTTTTTTTGTAGTTCAATAATGGCAGAATATCAGGACGCGTTAGACAGAGCCCGTCGTCTCTCAGTGGCAAGAGAAGCAGCGTTAGCTGGCAACGAAACTGCAATGAATGTAGTGACACTAGATGATCTTCTTATATACACCAGATCTTTGATATGTCAATTACATTCTGTCAAAAAAATCCATGCTTTCTTGAAGGTGGGCGGTAATGGAAATGAACTATGCATGATTTCATACAGATCCTAATCGGTAGCCCGCGTTTAAAGCATAGGAAATATATATTCCGGTATTCCAGTCTGACCAGTCATTTCAAAGTTACAGTAAAGGAGATGTATAGACGAGGTAAAAGGACTAGTACTGCTAGAACTGGCTGAAATAGACCCTTTGCACATGACGTCACTGCTGCTATTTGGAGGACAATATTGCAGATGACGTAAATTTGAATAAAATGCAAAAATATTAACTAGTGAAAAGGCTTTGATTTGTTATAACTATTTTTGTCGGCCAAATGAACCTCTACCGCTTGAATAACAATTCTTTTTAATGGTGCAAGTTTCTGGAGGACAAACTTTAGCGACTATAAAGTCAGTGCGTGGATCTATAGTGAAATTGACAATGCATCATGGGGCTTTTTTGCGGACGAGTCTTTCTTACGTGTGTGCATTTCAAACTGACTATCATCAGTCCTATTATTGCAACTTAATTTAGAATATGTAATATAAAGTCAGTACGGACACATTGCCGAACGATAGAAATGCGGCATAAAAATACCAGATTGATATTATTTTTATATCTGCATGATTTATCACATATATTTGAAGAAATTACATAGAGAATAATAACACATGGATGCACGGAAATATTGAATTTATTTCGAGTGTTGAGAATGATATCGATCAATATTTTCAATATTTCAAGCAATTACATGCAGTATATTTCAATGAAGAACGTTATACTAACTAAATATAATAAACGAACTAAACATTGCGCTGTTCCACTTGTTAATTACCACGAACGTAAAACAAGACTTATTTAGTAGTCAAACTAATAATGCACAAACTTAGTTGGTTCTTTTTCATTCTTCCCAGATCATAGAATGGTTGCCATACTCTCACACAAACGCTATCAAACTTGAACACCAAAAGCCAGAACCCCAATCTGATCCTAACGCGAAAACATCCACGAACCTCAAAGTTCGGAAAAGGTAAAGATGTACGTTATTTATACCATAGAAGGCAACGAATTTCATATAGCCTAACGTGTAAACACGATAAAGGGCACGCGGTTGTTACCGCAGTTTTCAATCAGTAGAGAACAAAATATCTGATGTTAATTTGAAACCGTATTAGGAGCCGTGGAAGAAATATATTTTTTGCTTGTCGCAAATTTACACTGAAAGTGAAAGCCATCAATCAACAAACTAGAATATCTAAGTCATGGTATTGTGTAATTGTAACAGGTATTCCAAGGTAATGAGTCAAGTATCTGTTGCAATGCAACTAAACTTATTACGTGCAACAACGTCCGAAGATTCTCCTCCCACCCCTCCCCCTATCAGTTTATCTTCGTACCAGCTGGTGGCTACCAAGAGTCCGTCCATAGCTGCTATTGCGGCAGCGTCAGGCGGAGGACTGGCGACAGATGAAGTCAATTTGGGAATACCGTTGCATCATACGTCAATTGAACAACTCAAGCCCATGTTGGAGTTTTTACTTGGTTGTTATGCCATTGAGATGGTAAGAGCGCAGAGTTGATAAGAAATGGATGCAGAGTTAGAACTATAGTGAACCCAATTTATGTGTACTCAGCTTGGGTCAGTGCGTCTGAGGGTTACATTGCAAACACTCATAAGCATTTGCCGAGGCATTTGCTAAGCTTGCCCACTTTTTTCATGATCTGGGCAACGAAGAATAAGATAGCCTAGGTAAGAAGTTCAAGCTCTGTTCCTGGTGCATGCCAGGTCTGTGCAAGGAAACTTTAAACAGATAATCATGCATGTGTGTCAATTACACTTAATGAGTTTTGTTTCATTTTAACAGGACGTTCACCAGGTAAACACATTTGCTGATGAAATGGAATTATTCACTATGGTTTCGCGAAAATTTAAGAAGATATTTTCCAGGCAGGAGCAACTACGAAGCTTCACCGTCTATGACGCTCTTATAGAGGTATGCTTCCTAAATGAGATGCAACTAAAGTTTCAATGAGATGACAACTCTTTCATTTGCTTCTTTTTGTTTACTTTTCATAGGAGATAACTGACAGTAAAATTCGCAGTCAGGGAACTTACCGCACGTTCAAAAAGGAATCAAACTGGTTGCCATTCTTACATATAAGGTGTTTTTTATTTGCTTTGAGGATAGTCTACAATAGTAGCTATATGACGTGCTATGTACGTGTACAAGCAATTAACAAGAACTGCAGCGGCTCGAAATCATAATTTACATGAAATCGCTGTGTACCTTATCCCTGCTGATGATACTTTAACACGTTGGTTTTTTATCATATGTTATAGGCCAGAAACAAACGGTGAACAAGTCAAGATGATGACAAAACTTCGGCAGCAAAACAACATTGACGAGGTGAAGAAAGTACCCCGTATTCACGAGCGCCACTTTTTTACTCTCATTTTCTAAAATATTTTTCAATATGCACCGATTTACAAAACTATCAATTTTGTTCTGTTGCCTTTACAGATAATAAAGACGCATTCAAGTTTTCTAAAAATGCAGGATCCGCAGGTAAATTTCACCTTCAACAATTTCAAAAGTGTTCAGGATCGCATTAAAATATTACTTAAGCCGCATTATACTTAGGTCTAGCTTACATACAAGTGCACTTTAAAATTTTGTTTTCCAGCGCGTGATGGCTGCCTTACGTGAACACGCTCGAGCTGTGGTTGAGCATCCAGTACCACAGGCTGTTTCTGTGACGACCCATAAGACGAACTACGACACTAGTGCAGTATGGAAGAAAATTTTCGCCCAAACCATGCCTCAAAGGTAAAGTGGAAATGGCGTCCCTTATATAAGCTCGTTATACACAGGATTGTACATACACAGGAAAACTTTCAGCACATTTCACCGACGTCATGTTATGAAAGACTGACTTCATAATCTCACAATTTCTAGTCTTAAATCTAGACTCTTATGCATGTACCTATAATAGCACAAGACATGTCTTCTGGATTGTCTATTATAACTGAAAGTGCGCTGGATAAAATCGGAGAAAAAATTGTCAAAAAAAATGCTCCAATTTTACGACTATAGTAAAGTCCACCATGTAATTGCATAAGTTCATCAAAAAGCAATCACGTTTGTGGTCATGATGGTCCAAACTCACGATAGTTATTGCATTATTTTTTTAGCTCTCGAGAAGATGTTTTCGACTTCGATGCTAAACTCGGTGAGGATGTTAGTGGTCAGAAGGACAGTGAATATGAATTGGGGACGGCAGTCGATATGTTAGGATTAGAGGATGAAGACTCGCGTGCACGTCAAGCGACACAGGGAGCCTATATGTCTTATTTGTTACTCAGGCATCTCAGACTGCGAGACTTGCAACGAACGGTGAGTAGAAGGAATTGTGTTAATAAAACAACCAATTTGATATTTCTAATGGTTGATTCTGTCTAAACAGTTATTCCTAGACGTCTAATTATTTATTTGTGTGTTCTTAATATAAAGTGTAAATAAACTGTGTAATAAAAGAAGAAAACGCACTACTTAAATTTGTCTAAACTAAATTATACATATATATTCTGTATTTTGTAGTGTTTGTCAGTGTTGAACTATTGTCGGTCTGTTGAAAGAACGCTGACCATTAATGATAGTGGTCTGTCCCTGGAAAGTGGGCGTCAAAAAGCTACCAAGTAAGAACTACTGTTTTCTAATCTAATAATTTTTTCCCGTAATAAGAACCGAGCCACGCAAGATATACATATTTTGTGATCACTATAATGATTATAGTTGTGCGTTATTATGGTGAGGTCTGTATACTGGTACCATGATGCATACCTATTTGCAGTGTCATAGAGCAGGTAGAGGCTCTCCCCTTTTCCCCGCCCATACTGTAGTCGGTTGGGTAGATTTAGGCAGTATGTTACGATATATTGTACATACTGTTTTGCCCGTACAAATGAGGTATGTACCGGCCTCTAGCTTTTCTTGTGAAATGACGCAAGAAACTACACCTATATTGTTTGTTTGTGCATTTAGCCGTGTGAGATTCACAATTCCTATATATAGCTAATATTGTTTATGAAAATATAGCGCAAAGCAGGGTTTCCAGAGTGCAAGGGCCAGAGCACCCCTGGAGCAAAATACGATCTGTACTATTCACATTTAGTTTGTCCTGTAATAATGTTTTCTTTTAATTTTTTAGTGATCAAGTGTTCCACAGTGGCGGCGTTCAAGGTTTAGGTTCACATCAATATATTCACAACACACCTGCGGATTTTGTGTAGGTGATTTTATTCTGTCTTATATGAAAACATACATCACATACTTTCAATGCTGCACATCCTGCGACCAGCTGAGTGATTACTTTAACGGTAGACGGTACTATACAGTATATTCTACTGTTTGGGCAAAAATATGCACATGTTCGCTATATTGCACATATTCAAGTAATATTAAATGGTCTCACAGAGGTTAGGACAGCGTGATTTTAGTATTAAATAATTGTGTACTTTTCTAACAGTGTTGAACAGAATGAATTCATGCAATATTCAGAGGTAATATGACTTGAGATTTTTGAGGAGATTTTTGAAAGATTTTCTTATAAGTTAGCATGTCGCGAAGCTTATTTTTAGCATATAGATGTATATTCTTGTAGATTTTATTTGCTGAGACAGTGAGACAGGTCAAATAATATTTACAGGACTGTATATATTATCTACAGATATAGAATAGAATTTAGTGTACCCGCTCAGTTTAGTCATGTTTTGTTATTACACTTCCTCATCTATGAAATGTCGTTTTTCATTGCAGGTCGAAAATCACGACGATTTCTATGTATTTGAAGAAGGGCGAGTTCATGTGCAAGATCAAAGAGGATTATACGTCATGTATGACACTGCTATACATGACTTTAGGTAAGTCAAAACCTGATCATGAAGTCATTAGCGAAGAACGTACACTTACAGTAACTGCCAAGTGTATAATTTTGTGTCAGCATTACGTTCAAAGATGGGATCTGAAATGAGCCATTTGACTATCATTAGACTTGCTGTAGTCAGTTTTCCCAAAAAACAGATGTAAAAAAAGCTCAGTATGGTGAACAAATATCAAGTTATAAGGACAACTACATGGATGTGTACAGAGATTGGAGAGCTATAGCAAACTGTATTAGTCTTTCTTCAATCATAGCAGTAGTCCATATGATCTGAATGATTTGAAAATTTGTCCAACCACACACACTAGTGTTCAGTGAGCATGGAGTTTTTAAAATTGATTACTGAAGATCACCCGCTGAATCCGAGCGCGTTTTCAACTGTGAATAACACTTCATGATTCTTTTAGGAATCTTGAAAGAGATCTGTTACTCGTTGCAACTCAGTTTATACAGAATGACAAGAAAAATATTCATGCAAGAAAATCATCTAAGAATTTCAGCTCCAAGGTAATCATTCTTTTTAAACATCTCGGGTCGACTGACGGTTGCGAATTTGTGATTCTGTTTTGAAAAGGTGGGCAAAAAGTTGGTATTTTAAAACAGCCCCATGATGCATTGGTAGCTATACTGCAATTTATTATCACAGAATTGACCAAAATCTCGTAATTTGTGGAATTTAGTATATTAAGAAGTCTTCTGAATTTTCAACATACAACAAACCAACCAAAAGGATTTTGTTTTTCTTTAGTTTAAATATTCTGATGTTGATATCAGTTCATATGGCCATCAGAACGTTGATCGTTTCGGAGTGCTTCTTGATGTTTGGTCAAATGAAGCCATTTACCAGGAAAATAAGCGACAGGTTTGAAGACAAATGTTTTAGCCAGTAAAACCATCGTTCATTAATTGATCCAGACTGCATGGTTCTTTATTTAATGGTTCAGAATCACGACAGGGGGGGGGAGGGCGCGGAACACCTGGAGTATAACTAGTACTTTCAATGTTATAGTAAAAGTAAATATACTAGACTGCATGGGGTCTTACGACACTGTTTATTACATACATTGTCCTGACTAGTAAATAAATTAACAATTGTTTTATCTCTGTCTAGCTCTTGGACACCTATTTTGAAGCCTATCAACACACCTTTAATCCAAACGACAAAAGAAATCTTGCTCAGGTTAATTTTTGACGAGTAAATATGTCTCAAGTTTAGGATCCGTCATTATAGTTCCTGTCAAAATTGAACCGACATTTAGGTTAAAACTCCACAGCAGTCTTTCACAGCACACGGCTCACAGAAGACCCTGGGTACGAGGTTGCTTCAAGGCAATCTCTGACAAAAACGTTGGGCCGGCAATAGGCTAACATCTCATATTATTTGTTGTCCAGGTGATGGTAAATATTCTTCATCAAAGACCAAGATTTGATTTTAATGAACCATATTTAGTGAAGTTATACAGAGCAGAGAATATTTGTCTTCGGTTGCACTGTAACCTCGTTAAATCTGTGTTGGACAAACAGGTATGCAGTTGTTTAAGATCTGTCAAGATATAAGACAGACAATGCGTAGTTAGAGTTACTGCATGCACTGATGCTACTTAGTCTTAGGGCGAACTTAATTCATTATATTGCCAAGCAAAGTACAGCGAGCTTATTCAATATTGCTGTTAGTGATAGCAATATTGAACCAAAGTTCACGAGGACTATAACTAGCATCAGATGCTCGTTAAAGTATAAAGAGCGATTAGAACAATGTTTGAAGACGAATTAGTATTAGTATGTGGTTGGTTGTCCCACATAAGTTTCTCATTACAAAGCATATTCGTTTGTCAATCCGGGCATTCTTTAATGCAAGAAATTCTAGCTGAAGGGTAGAACAAGGCTCCAAACCAAGTTGATGGACTGAAAACTTTATATAATTGAAACAAGTTATAGGGGAAAAATATTGGGGTAAAGAACTAGAAAGAGTTTTGTGAACATGTGAACTCTTTTTTCAAGATCGCTGATCAACGGGAGTATGTTCAAAAAGTGACAAGAGATGGCGACTCAGGTGAGATGATATTCACCGTTGACAATAAGCAGCTCTTGCAGTATTAAATAAAGAATATCCTTCCTTTCTTAGAATTTGGTTTACCGCACAGAATTATTCCTAAACAAAGTATTGCAGTCAACACTAGCAGGTAAAATAAACGTTACTTCACATGTTACAACATTCCCCTACTTTATCTCAGCAAGTTCAAATGTTTTTCAATGTTTTTCTTTCTCTCAATATTCTTAACACGTAACAAGCTATACCTGGACGAAATTCCGCTTTTACTGTTCGTTCCAAAATATTTGTGGTTATATATGTATACACAGCTTAGTGAATTAGGGCTGCATTCATTTTAAAAACCTGAACTTTGAACGCGCAAAGAATCATACGGCTTACTTTTTCAGACCATGTTTGAAATATGTCTACATGCTGGAATTTCATCCGTCCCTTGCGCTGGCTGCATCCTTACCTAAAAGTATCAAGCATGTTTTACAGGTTAGTGGGAGTTTTTTAAGTCCATACATCCTTGTCATTAGACGGATATTGACCTGCCAACCTATAGGGCTATTCTAATTTAGCCTAAAACTTGCATGTCTTAAAGTATCCTAATTTTTCGATGATGCGATGTGGGACAAAAGTCCATTAATTATAACAATTAATGGCCGATACTTATAGTTCGATATATTCTTGTCTCAAGATATTTCTTAACGCGAGCCAGCCAGCTGGATTTATGGAGTTGATCAATGTTGAGAAATGCTTGTTTGAACTTATTCAAAAAGAATGGGATAATATGGAGGTCGTTGGTATAGCCCATTCACAACAAACACAAAAAGATGTAAGTCTTATATCATCATACGAACTTGTATTATACGTAATGGCACAGTTAATAGAAATAAGATCATTGTTGGTAAGTTATTGTTGTATAGGTTGTCGTATTATTTGTGGGTTGAGTAAAGCGTCGATATCATTCTCCAATATTGCATGTTTAGTGTCTGAATTGTTTTACGTTAGAAAATGGAGGAAAAGCGGAAGGTGGAGAAAAATCCTAGTTACGCGAATATAATCTTTGAGATTAGGTTAGAAATGTGATTACGGTTAACCCTAATCAACCATAAACTTAATCTAAGACTTTAAATCCTAAATTAATCTGGAGGATTAAATTTGTGTATTCAGGGTTTACTGGATATGGAATTGTTACCTAAAAAGCGGATGAGTGGCAAAAATGTTTGAGGAATATTTTGCACCACCGATATTTTGAACTGGGTACATTTCGCCATGATGATTATTGTGTTTTTCTTTCAAGTTGTTCTCGGAGGTATTTGTCGAAGATCCATTGTTTGTATGCGAGGTTGGTCAATCTCAGCTCAGCGCTCTTGAGTCCAAGTCAGCTGGTCGTAGATCAGTAAAAGAAAGACAGCAGTCTCTTATAAGTACCTGGTGTGATCTACTTGAGGTAGGAGCTAGGAACTCGTATAATTTACATGGGCTGTGATCTTTGCTATGTGCAAGGCTTCACCGCCCTGGTATTCCTTACTATTCACGAATGTGTCCTGTAATCTTATATCGTTAGATAATTGTTCGTTGTTACTGTCTTCTAATGGCGTCTGTTTTGTAACGACTAAGGCTTTTTGGTTCTGGTTCTGGTTACTGTAAGTTCGTCCAGTAAAAGTGTTTTTGTTGCAGGTGTTGACATTGCGTCATCGTTTGATAACTTCAGCTCATGAAACAGAAGTGCTCATGAAGGTAAAGGATACAGGTGAATAAGTTTAGGAGCGCATATTTTGAGTGTCATTAAATGCATTATATTGAATCGTATAGGTTTACAAGAGGAAATGCAAAGAGTTTGGATTTGATGAACATCATGCTTATCTTCGAGCTGTTTCGTTCGATTTGGCTCAACTAAAACCGGAAGCTGAACTGTATCGCATCTCTATTGACACCGTCCTTGATGATGACGGCAGAATTGATAGGTAAGCTTGGTGAACTACTGCATGGTTCATAAATGAGATCTTCCTGGACTAGACTTTGAACTTGGGAATGGCGTGGACAAAATATATTTTTCTACTGTATGCAATTTGTAAAATACAGCTTACCGTATTTCGCTAAGAATAATTTCAAAACATTTTCAGCCCCACAATATGAGTTTTATTGCAGCAATATTTCAATGGGCTCGTTCTAGGAAGAAAAACAGAAAATTAACGACGAATTCTTATCGGGAACATTTTTTTCTATCAGCAAATTTTAAATTATAAATATAAAAGGTCCGAAGACATATATTTCAACACCAATTCAATGGAAATAGTTTATTATAGCCGCCTTTGGTTTCATTTTATTCGTATACTAGATGATCAAGTCTTTGTGAAAATATCATTAAATCCACAAAGTAATGTCTTGTCGTTTTAGATATACACCAGGATCTCTTCCACTTGCAATTCAGGAGATTGACGAAAAGTATGCTGGAACAGTAAACTTCAGGACGCGAGAAGGACTGTTGCAGGTAGACAGAACAAACTCAAATTATGCCCTTCAGCATGCAGAGTTCAAATATGATAAGATATAGTAATGACTGTGCTGTTTTTTCAGCTCATTGGACGGATGGGGGTGGAAAAGTTGCAAGTCATATTAGCAAGCCAGGTAACATAATTCTTGGTGAAATTTTTATTGAGTGTTTCTTTTTAATAATCTCTGTATAAATGCTTTCAAGTCATCCTCATTAGTGGTACTTGCAAACTAAGCAGCTATTATTGTGACAAGTTATTATTTATCCTAGTTGCATGCCATTTGTATTCTTTAGGTGGTGCATAAAAATCTTCTAGCTGCAGCTGTGATCCTCGGGGGTGAATGTGGGAATGCTGTGAGTAGAGAAAGACGCTCAGGGACATCAGTCAATAAGAATATTTCTCCAAGGTACATCTTCACTCTTGGTGCAAATGGACATTGTCTGGTCAATGTATAAATGTATATTCTCATGTCTCACGTTTTCATTTTAAACCAGCGCTGTCCCCAAAGTGCCAACAGTGACAACTATGGACTTCCTAGACCCAGGCAGCCATGACAGCTCAGGCACGGCCACTCCAACACAAATGACATTCACAACTCACGTGAAACGCGAAAAAAACCACGTGACCAAACTTGCGTTTGTTTCCGCTCAACTTGAAAAGGTAAAAAAAACATTTCCTTTCAACAGCTCGCGTAGAGCTGCATTACACAATGAAGCGCACGTAGCTACGAATCTGTAAGAAAAACAACTGTCGGATAAAAACGGGTAGCAATATGAAAAAGCAAATTATGAATAATTTTTTGCTGGTTCTATTCAAGGCATGGCTGCGAGATATGATGTTGAATGAATATGTGACAAAGAAGACCACAATGAGCACAGTCTTGAAAAATGTTGATGAAACTATGAAGCTAAAACGGTGTGTGATCGTGGGGAGTTTCCTATTAGGAAATCATGCAACATTCGTCTTTTTGATTTTCATTTACATCAGATGATTTTTCTTTAGGACACTCATTTTAAGTTTCTCTCAAGCTCTTCAAATGTCAGTTTCCGAATACTCACTGCGAGCCCAGGTATATCTCTCTTTTCATCTTATCCACAGACGTTTTCGAAGCATACTATTGCTGGTTGATGACATTACAGTGGTCCATGCATGTTTCCAAAACTATTGTCTGCTGGTAATTTAGCTCATGTCGACATCAAGCATGAAAAATTAAACATCTTGTACAGTACATGTCCGCTTAAGACCTTTCAAAGAAATGTTGGGGGCTAGGGGAAAATAGATTTACTCTCCACTTTGTCATCAATTCGCTTTCTCAATTTTGAGGGCACCCTTAGGCCTGGGGGCAAATTTGCCCTTTAGTTCTTACAATTAATTGTATTATTCTAATTTACTCTGTCATAATTCATCTAGATTATTTCATATTGCGGAAGCCTGTTGGATCTGATGAGCCAATTTCCAACAACAAGGTAAATATTGCGATGAAATAATTATTGAATCATAGGACATGCATGGTTACTGAGTTGCTTTCGTAAGAATTTTCATTACGGAAATTCATGCAAGTCGTATGTAATTAAGTGTAAATCACGAATTATTTTGCAGAGACTCTCACTTTATGATCGGAATTGAATTTGAACCAAAACCAGATGAACAGGAAAAATCTCTGGAAGATCCAACACCGTACGTATTCACTATTCTGATCCAGGAATGCAGGACTGATTTGATAGTGTACTTTTGGAATTGATTGCATGTTGATGCAAAGGCTGACAGTCTGTTGATAAACTGACTAACTGGCGATGTGCTGGTGCCAGGGTTGATGGTCTTATTTGCTGATCAACTAGGGTACTTATGGTTTGATGGACTGAGTGATTGTTGATGTACTGATGCCGGTTGTATAAAAGTCTTTAACTACATTTTGCATGGTTAAATCCTAGTTAACTCAGAAATACACAACTCTGATTTGCCGATTCTTTCCTTAACTACAGTTAAAAGTTGACTAGTCTTTTATACAACTGGCCCCTGATAGGCTGACTGATGATGTACTGCTATTGCGATGAGTGACGTACGGTTCTCGACTGGTGATATGCTAGTGGGCTGACTGGTAGTGTTCTAATGGGTCGGATTGGTTATGTATTTGTTGGCTGATTAACTGATTAGGGCCTCGTGGGCTGCGGTACTGATCGACTGGTGAGGGCCTCGTGGCATGAGCTGAAGGATGGAGATGTATTGACGGATTAGTATTAAACTATTTACGGCTTTTAAACAATCTTCTTCTATTCATTAAAAAGCAGTTTCATGCCAGATGTTGTGATCATTTTTTTGTTTTTTTAGCTCTTTAACTTCACGTGCGAGGAAATTGCTGTCAAATGACGGTCGCCAAATGATTAATCTTTGGTATATACCCCACTTTACCGAGGTGAGCGATTTAGTATATATTGATTAAAAATGCAAAATTAAACTGAATTGTTTCTGGAATCCCTGAAGAATCGGCTTGGTTCATGGCTTCACAGGTGATCACTTGGATCGATGAACAAATACTGTGCACGTTTTCTATAGGTACTGAACATGTTTGCAAAATCAGCGAGAGGTGATAGAAACAAACGTCTTAAAACCGTACTGGTAGGCACTTGTGTAATTTTGTAGCGGAATTTTTTGTATCGTACACAAGGTTATAGCGACATTTTGATGTTTCTATTCATTTATCATATTTTAGTGGAAACAGCTGAAGTTGGAGATTGATTGTTTATTTATTTCTTCATTGTAGCAAATCGTCTCGTGTCTTCATGATATATGCCAGTACCTGTGTGCGCATGCGCGCTTAGGAAGCTCCCACGCCCGTCTTGGCTCTCAAAAGTTGGAATTTTCTGGTGTCACCGCTGACTGGGGAGGAACGGAAGGAATAGGTGGGGTTTATTCGACATTGGGAAATTATATACAGGAAAATATATATTTACTAGTCCATTCATATATTTAAAAACTTTGCTATCACAGACCAAGTAGGCCCAGGCTCTTGACTCTCCTTACAGACCTTACTATATTAAGATAAATCCGTCGGCCTTTCTGCGCTGGTTGGTTGTAAACGAGCGGTATTTCTTGGAAATTTAGGTGCCGAGTTGCGCGAAATACAGAAACAAATCAACCACCTGGAAAATCCTTCAGATCCAGAACAGGTATACGAGTCAATTATTTGCTTCTATGATTATATATGATTATACCAACTCCGGTGTCATGATTTGAGGACGTTTCTAATTTTTTTCAGATCGCAGAGTTTTTACGTCATCGTCGCGACGTCATGTACTTAGAATTCGATCTATCAGTGAGTCATTGCGTCCCTGATACCTTCCTGCAGACTGGAAACGAGCTTGCGTGTAAGGTATGTGAACTAAAGGGGTTCTCCATTACACCTGCTTCGCCCGCGCGGGCTGAGCACCCTCGAGTTCGTACGAGCAGATTTTCAAAGAGGGAATGGAATGTAATGGCACAGTCTTAAGATCATAGAATAGATATGAATATATAAGACGGCGCTGAGAGAGCGAGGGTACTAATTCCACAGGTGTCGTCCTGTGATTATCAAAACTCCGATCTTCCCGTCCATAAAGGACGTGTTCAATTCTCGTTGAAATATTGCCTGAACTATCACTAACCGTGGAACTATATCTATGCGTATACCCGGGTGATGTTGAGTGAAAAATTGTGAACCGAACCAGCAAGCCTATGATTGGTTGGTGCAAAATTGTTATGCGATTGAAGTACGAGAGAGGTTTGATTTGTGGCTAGCATATTGACACTGAACAATATGATCGCATTTTCTTTCATTTCACAGCTGCCGGCGTCATTTTCCTGATTCATTATTTTGCGAACGTAGGAGTTATTAAATATTTAAAATGAATTTAAAAATTCGTCAATCAAGTTGATTGATTTAACTTGAAACAGTTGTTGGCAAATTATTTCACAGTACTGTCGATTAACTCGCAGTTTGAATCTTGTTTATATTCATAAATACAATACCGTGTGATTATATTCTCAGTTCCAGTTCCCAGCACCGTGAATAGTGTCAGAAATATTGCACTGAATATAAAAAAAACGCTTTAAATAGAAAATTTAAATTCAATATTTAATTTGACATGCCCTCCCTGAAGCGAAAATTGATTAGCATTTACGAAATCTATTAACTTTTCATACGATTGCGAATATTTTTTTTCCCGAGTTGAAACAAACAATATATCTATTACAATGAAAAACAGTTTTGCACAATCAGGGCCGTCCACAGGGAATTTTTCAGCGGGGTTTATGGCGAGTTCTTTGTTTTCTGACCGAGTCTCCCCCCCGGCCCCCCATCGACAAATATTCTTTGTGCCGATTAAAGTAGCTCTTCCGCAGACTAAATTAACTTTTTGACGGCCGCCTTCCAGCCCCTGTAGCTCCGATCCAGGCCTGTGTCGTGGCATCCATAAAATCCTCAGTCTAAAGAGGCTATGTGTGAAATAAACAAGTCGGCGAATGGCCTTTGGTTGAAACGTCATAGATTTTGTTATCCGTTCAGGCATTCTACCAATTCGAAAGCAATGCCCGCCGTGACTTTAGCAACGGGCCAGATAGTATTTTTTTTGCAAAATTGAGAGGTGAAGATCAGTAATAAAACTTGCATGTCTTGTCTTCCCGCAAAGTGTAAGAAAGTGAATAATTCATTACTAGACATAATAGACATGCATTAATGCTGAATGCTTCAACAGATGGATAGGATAAAACTTTATTTAAACAATGCTTTGAATGCTAAATTTGTTTTTCGTTTTGCGAAATATCTTAATAAACGTGTAGGGGATCCTAGCTTCCAGCTGTTCCTGATTTGCAAACAACAAAACTCAGACGTGACGGCGTGTGATAACCACAATTTCACCCACGCTTTTCCCTTCCACTTCCACGTTTCCAGCTCTTATCGCCGTCTTCTAGATAATTCCCACGTTTTTAGGTACTTATAGTTGCCTGGTTGTCATCTTTTCATGCAATCACGAGAATGCACGCGATGATTGGCTCTTTCTATTTGTCCCATTGGTCAATGATTTCCATCAGTCGTAAAACACTGCAGCTCAAAAGCATTCATCTTTGCTTTTGGACTATTAAAATTTTTGCTGAACGTGACATCAGTGAAGTCATTGCATTGCTTTAATTGCTTTATTTCATCCCCGCAAGTATTTTTACTAGAAAATTTACCTGAAATATTGCAAATGTCACAAAATAATGACATATGCAAATTCTTCAAATATGCAAATTCTTCAATTGTTGTTATTCTGAAACTTTTAATCAAACCGACGTATTGTTATTTACGTTGCCAACTATCAGACAACATTGTCCAAGCATTTTTTTTCCTTCCCGGCGAAGCGCTGTAGTCTTATAGAAAAATATGACGCAGTTAAACGTGGAATTCATCGATAGAAATGTTTCCGCCCATAATAAGAACGGCATGCGTATTTCTGGGCTTAAGGCCTCTTTGCGTGCATACCAGAGACCGTTGTGAAGTAAAACTGGGAAACTGCACACAAAAAAGCACAAGATCGCAATGCAACATGTTGAAGCACCTTTTATATCCGCGTTTCCACGATTTTCACCAGTAGCTATTTCGATATTCAAGTCTTGTCGTTCGTTCGTGTGGTATCGGACGACTAATGCATCGCTCTGTCTTATTGCATGGACCGTGGCCATCATTTGGTAGTTTATATAAAGTATTAGGAGAAAAATCACCCCAAGAATTGCCAAGCCAGGGATGTCTCTTGGAATTATCTTCTTGTGACTGAGAACTGATATCATTACCACAAAACTCCAGAATATTAACAGAAGGCCTAAAAGCCTTCGCTTTGTGATCGATCTTTGATGAAAATAAGGGTGTCTCACCGCCCAATATCGCTCTAAGTTCATAGTTAGCAAAGTAAACATTGAGAATCCAAAAAATGGATCGAAAATGAATGGAATGATACTGCCTCTTGTATACCAGAAGATCGTAGAGAAGAACAATAGTGGATGGATTATTGTGACAACAACTAAATCTGAGCAGGCTAAAACAAAGATTAAAAAATAGCACAGCTTCTTGCGCAGTTGTGTTGACTTCCAAAAGCTAAGAATTACCAAAGAGTTTAAGATTATTCCTGCAACTGCAAAGCAGCCGTTAACAATGCACAATGCCAACATATTTAACCATTTTCCAGTATCCATTATACTAGGAACACGTCAACTTCCACTGTGCTATAAGTGCTCTTCCAACTTGCAATTTACTCTCCTTGAATAGTTCTCTATATATGCCTTATGCAAAGTAAAAAAGAGGTGTGATGTTTTCATCTGAATGAAAGTAAATGTGATCTACCGCAGTAAGTGTTTTGCATCTTCCATTACTATCTAGGCCCTAATCCATTACTATCTGGGCCCTAATCAGCTTAACTGCGCCCTAATCAGTTCTTTAATCCGAGTTTTATTAACAGTTTTCGTTTGCAGCCCGATATGACTTTTTTTAATTCTTTAATCCTTTCCAATTTGTCAAAACTTTCATTAAGTGTTGGTTACGATGTCATTGCGTTGAAGAACGATTTTCATCGAAAGTTGAGCCTTCGACATTCGCTAGTTCCTCAAAACCTGTTGGTAATGAAAAAATTGATTGGTCAGTTCATTTTTGGTTTATAATAAAATGATAAAAAATCCTCATGATGCAATGGAAAACGCACACTAATCTGTCCGCGCAAATCTCCAGTTTTATAAGGCACGCGCTATATTGCATTTTGCTTACAATTAATGGCGAATTCGTAGATGATGTCGTTTTGCTGACGTTGGCTACACATATTTCGATTATCATTGACGTGCATCCGAATCGCCCAACAAGTCACTAGCTGTGTATTTACGTAAGTCGGTAAATTTAGCGAGGAGCCCCAGTATAACGAATAAATTTAGTATGCCAATATATTTATTGAAGAACAGTCATTTTAATATTCTCAATACACACATCTCTATTTACCTTCATTTCTGTTCGAGCTTCGCATTGATTATTTGATTATTTTGAGTAACAGCATACATAAAATCCATACTAACCCAAGGTCGGTTCATCTGTTTCCGTTTAGCTTAATTGCATCGAACATATGCACAATGCGCCTGAAATCTTTGCCTTGAAATCTTGAAGTCTTTTGTAATGCTATTGACAGGCAATAGTTACGAAAGCTATAAGCTAAATATATCATATAAAAATACCAGGCATGCCAATTTAATCCGTTATACTTGTGCAAAACTTTTCCATGTATATGTGCCTAGTAGCTTGAATTTGAGCATTGTTGCTCGCGGGAGGTACTTTTCATATGATTAATAAACAGCAGTGTACCTGAGTTTCCACATCATGATTGGTTTAAACAATCAAATTAATGAATTCGTCTCTATTTAAGACCTTGTTAATAATGCATGAAAATTGTCTACCGTTACAGATCGATAGATAAACTTTGGTTTAATTTGTAAAACCCGTATGTGACACCAGGCAATTTACGTTAAATTCCTGGTCATAATACGTGTGGGAGTCATGCACCACATGTATTTTAAGTGCATTTTACTTCCCAGCATTATCACATTGTTCATTTCCTGTTTTCCCTTCACGGGCGACAGTCGTGCGTCTTAATTGCTGTAGAAAATATCGGCAAAAACTTGAGCTGTATATGTTTTGCTCAATGTTGAAACATACTTTTTGTTTATAACATCATCGCATGTCCGAAATTCCGCTCCCAGAAAAATCTTCTCGTCGAGACAAGATCGCGGGGGTGAATGGGAAGTGTTAAAAATGCATGCATAAGAACACATGCTGTAAAGTGAATAAATAATGAGAAAGGTTAATGGGGTTATAGGAATCAGAAAGAATTTTGAAAACCGAAAGCAAGGGAATAATTTAAGATAATTATTAACTTATAATTATCTTTCCTTTTTGTTCATTTTAGTCGATTACAGACCAAATGGAGTTTGCATTACAAAATTTAAGTAACGTCGAAAGGTATGTGGAATTTTGATTAATCACATTATTAGTTTGCTCAATATTTTGAGCTTTCATCCCTCAATAGTTTGAGCCTTGTATTTTTAGATGCAGTGTATACAATTGGTCGTTACCAGTCCCTGATCTTTTTAACTCTCTCAAGGAAGTATCTTCAAACTTAGTCCCCTGGCGATCATTTTTAGCAAGGTAAATTAATGCATTAGGTAAATTGATGCATTGAAGAAAAAGTTGTTGTTTTAATAAACAATGTATTTGTGTCATAATTAATGCCACAATCAAGTCTCGGGAGGACATGCTTGCTACTGAACTCAATTTCCTTATCTGGAACCATACTGGCATTGTCTTTGACTAGCACGTCATATCGCATTTGGATCACGCCAGCATCCACATCAGCTCTACGTCAGTTTCAGTCCTTTAATTGCTATCATTGCGCAGTATAATGCATGGTTTTCCAACCTAATGCTCGCCATTGTTAAATTCTACGAGAATTGCTCAATATACTACCTCGCACTCCCATTATGATATATAAAATAAATATGGACATACTGATCCTTTCAGAAAATTATATAACTATGTAGTTATTTAACTATGCAATATATTAATAATTTTGTAGGAATGGTCCGTTTTCATTGCAGTATTGGCCTTGGTTTGAGATTGGCACCAACATGCAACTGTGTTTGGCTGGTCTTCGAGACGTTGATAGGTTATTGTTTGATTTGTGTTATACTAACGTTAGTTATACTACATGTTAAGTCCTAAACAGAAACTCAGAGGTTGCTACGATGACCCCAGAGGAATTGGGGTACAAACCGGGCGACACCGCCCAGAAAAAAGGCACGATATCCCATCATAACCAAGTCTATATCTCTGAGACGTAATTGAACTCGCATGTGATGTGCAACGTTAAATTAGTGTGCACCCTATCAATTAAGGCTGAAAACCTAAATGCTTTACAGGCATGTTGTTAACGGTGAAATCCTGGGTGTGTCACTACAGCTTGAAGATGTTTTACAAAATGGTCTCCCTGATGACATTCTTGGCCAAGCAGATGATAGCTCTAGCGTGACGTCAACGTCTTCTGCGCTTAGAGTGAAAGACAGAAAGCTGGCTTCTCGCTTAGGTTTATCATTTAGTTTCTACATCAGTTGCGAAATCTTCTCGGCGAAATTTTGGTGATGGTGATCTCCGTTGAATCCTAATACTATAGTGGAAACACAAACAGGATTCTTCACCTCTGAAACAAGTGGTTTATAAATATAATATATATCAATGTCCACTATTTTGTAATCGAGGCACTGATTATAGTTGTCTACTTTTTAAGGTAGTGCCAGAAGTAGTCAGGCTGAGGAAGTCCCCTTGACAACAGCAAGTACACTCGACATCCCTCGTGGTCAGTTATCATTTAACACAGATCCACTCTCAGCCATAAAATTACTGCAGTTATTTCTCATTTCCTGGTCTCGTCTTGAGGTGCTGAAAAGAGATTGGGGTTGCCGAAAGCTCGGCGTGAGCTCTCTGGCTACAACAAAAAATTATAAAGCTTGTGGGTATGTCCACTATATTATTGTCGTGTTAAAAATACACCACACGGTTAAAAATATCAAACATGCATGTTTTAGCTATGGTTTGCACCTTGCGTATTCGAATTTGGAAATTTACTTAAAAGCAACTAATAGTCGAATGCATAACTCCTCCCTTTAACCTCAAGTGTGTTTTATTAAAATAAATAATTTCGCCTACCTTGCTACAAAATTGTTAAAGCAAAATTGCTAAATAAATGTATAAACATGAAGAAAGGGGTCTTTCTTCTTGGCACTGACACCTTCGTACTGTCATATGTATGAGTTGAGTTTTTGGTAGTGCTTCAGATGTTGAGCTATTTTATACCTCTACATGGAAGGGATAGTTTGGGACATCATTGTTCATCCTTCTATTTCCATTATTGTAGAAAAGCCTTCAAAATCGATGTACTTCTTCCTGTGTATCAACAGATCGCCTCGAAGAAAGGAATTGTAAGTTTTAAAGTAGGAGGGGGGGGGTTAAATATGCTATGTTGATTCAGGCAGAACTTGATCTTGATTAGAAGCAACGACGACTTCTTTACCAATATTTTAGTACCATTTTAGCTGACCTTCGTTGGATTTGCACGTCACTATAAGACTAAGTATCTTTTGCTTATTCCAGCCAAATGATTATTCTGTCATCTCCACTGTGTGTGATGATGAACCTTTGGCTACCCCACCTTCTACAACTGATATGGAACTGAAAATCAAACAGGTGCGTTCGGTGGTGGCCTGGCTGAGAACGTCGGGAGTCAGTGTTTAAAGATACTGATATAGGTTTCAATTTTGTGGAGAGACACTTCAGATTTATGTCCGGATATTTTGAGTTGTGCTTTTGTAATTATATGGGATTAAGTATTTGAGTATCAATCAAACTATAAGTACTGTCGATTGACTTCTCACATGCGATATGCAAGTTTTTTAAATCATTAAGAATTGCCCGTGTTGACGCCGTACCTATATATTGATGAATGCAATGTATAATAAGCAATATAATTTCTCTCATAGCTTGTTCGTTTACTTGAAAACTTTGAGTGCTCTATGATTGGTGATGTAATAAAAAAGATATCCAGAGAACATACGCTAGTTCTGACTGAGAGAGGACGTGAAGATGCCACCTTGCCTACAGACCTGTGGAAAAGACCGGTATACCAATAATTATATGTTCCTATATATGTGTGCATGTGTAACAAATCATTTCGTAGAGACACTCGCATGCAAAATAGAAACTATATGTATCTTAAGAAGTATTTACTCAGTTCTGTTAAACAGAAAGAAGTTTGTGTGCAAAATGCTGTCCTATTTCTGGTTTATTTTCTGTAGTGCATAAGTCTTGGTTTTTTCTTCTGTTCTTATAAGGTGATGAAAGAAACGACGACTATCGAGAAACCTCATTTAGTGGAGAATTTTGTTCAAACTTTAATGAATGATCACGTGGAAAATGAAGATACGTTGACGTTTTCTAAGGTAGATGTCATTTTTTTTGAAACCCCCCTATCTTTAAAAACTTCTAACAAATATTGTTTGCTCAGAAATTATATATTGAGGCACGTCTCGCTAAATCCAATTCAATTTAAACACTAAAAATGATACACTTAGCTTGCTTAACAAAAACGCAGATCGTAGTATATAATGAACATGTATAAACTAACATTATGCTTTCATCGTTTGAGGCACATTTCAATGCTTGTCTGGTAAAACTTGCATCAGAGACCATGGTGAGAGAACGTAGCTGCTTCAATGGGTAGGAATTTTTTACTTTCTTAAGTTTCTTAACCGAAGTCGAGAAATCTCACGTCGTAAACCATGCAGTTATAATCATTACAATCTATAGCAACACGTCATCCTTCGTTGACGCTTTGCAGATTGCAGTTAGATGTTATATGTTATAGCAGCCATGTTTATAAAGTGTCCGCATGCGATAAAACTTTACGAGTCGACCTTTTGTTATGTTTCATCTTTGTCCCTATATAGTTATGCTATGTACTATGAAAACCTGCTACGCCATCAGCATCAATTATTATATACAAAAGAACAAGTAAGCCGGACACGTTCATTCCAAGAAAATTACACATGCATATATTTAAAACTAGAAATCGTGAAGTTTCACAATGAAATTCTACATGACATTGTACAGCATATGCATTTTTGCGAACGACTTTTCTTTTTCTCTCAGGAAATAAAGCAAATTCAAAGCAGTAAAGAAGATTCCGAGAAGAATTCTCAAGTCGATATTGATTGTCAGCTGGCAGACAAAAGTCACGAACTTCTGTTAGGTAAATCCGTTTGAAATTTATTTTGGTATAATATTTTAATTTGTCTATAATATTATACTGATTGAAGTATTCAGACTGTGCCCAGCACTGGTGCCCAAAATCAAAACTAACTCGCAAACCATGTTAAGCACCTTATCAACTACTATACGGCTGGATATAGTGTCCGTTTTTGGGCACCGTAAGCAATTTATAGCCCCGTTTTATTGGTACGGCACGGCTGAAATGGGTACCCGTGCTCATTTCATATGTGCCCGGTCTTTGTTTTCGTAGCCTGATCATGCACTAATTAAATTGAGTACTGGTACCCATTTCAGCCGTGCTGTGCCAATAAATTGAGTTTAGTGTAAATGGGGCTTTTATTTTGAAGTGTCTTGTTCAATGTAGGCGCCGGAAAATTATTAAACTTATTATTCCTTCACTTTAGAAATCACTGCACTGAGAGCAAAAATTAAAGAACTTTCGGATCAACTGACCAACCAGGTAAAACATTCATCCCCGAGAGGGAGGTTAAACCAGGGCCATGAGAAGCTCTGGCACAAACTGCATGTAAACTCCAATACCAATTCATGCAAGGGAGAACAACCTCGCGAGATTATCATATTCAGAATAAACCGCATGCTGTGGAAACTACTCGGTAGCGCGGAAAGACAGTTAGTAAAATTTTTCAGTCTTACAAAAATGAGGTCTGATATGACCGTTATTTTGTACGTAGCTACCAAACTGCAAAACCATAATTTTTATAGGAAAGTGAAATACGGGAACGTTTAACAAAAGATTACAACACTCTTGTACGAGGATTGTTCTCGCGCTGTTTTTCTATCAAGAATAAGTTCGAAGAATTCAGGTTAGTTCACTCACGTTAACTTTTTTTCTGCATGCAACTTTAGCACGAAATGCGATATTTTCTTGGAGTAGGGGATTGCGCGCTCTTCAAATAATAACTATAATAATAAGTTGATTGTACTGGGGCCGGTTTGCATATGAATCCTAGTTGACTCAGAAATACATCACTCTGATTGGCCAATTCTGTCCTTCTAACTAGTCTTTTATGCAACTGGCCCCTGGTAGTTATACACTAGGTTCCTCGCGAGAGTGTTTATTTAATAGAATTTTGTTCCACGTATATATTATATGATTATTTAAGAGGCTCGTTGTATGATGATGTTCTTGAAAGTCTCAGTGATGTTCGACGTCAAGCTATGGAAAACATGAGAAAAATTAGAGAGAGGACTGGTACATTAAAAGGTGAGATGGTCACACCGATTGATTTTATGAGCCGTATAATTCAATCATCTTTTTATCATAAAATACCACCTATGCAAAGCGCCACGGTTTGTCGCTATAGTAAAACTTAAAAGCGGGGCGAATCTTTTATGATTCCCTCTGGCACCATTTTTGACCAAGGTCGTCACTGAAAATAGGAAAATGCATCAGCAACTTATAGGAAAGTTTATGCTTTGTATCCTGCATGAAGCGTCACGGTAACGACATACGTGATACTAACCTGAGCTTAATCTTACTTTACAGATGATGTTGAAACTGAATCCAGTATCCATCTTGCGAGAGCAGAGAGAATCAGGGCTTACCAGGAGGAGAACAAACATTTAGGAGCTTTGGTAAATAAATTTGAAACTAGACTTGAACATTGATCATGATGAAAAAGAGAAAATTCCGATGAGTTATCATAACGGGATAATCCAATTTCAGTCAGTGTTTTGATTGCTACTGGAGTAGCATAAAAAAGGACTAGGTTACGCAAGGTAAACTATCCTCCTGGTGAAGGAACACCTGCAGTAGAGGACTGGGTTGTATTTGAGCGTTAAAAGAACGTTCTTGAAAATGATCACTAGCTGCAATATCTCTAACGTGCTGTGCATGAGGATATACCACTGTTAAGTAGTTACCTTAAGTTATCATCTTTTCTTTGTTGAAAATGATCACCAGGGTAAACCCATAAGATAATTTTCCTTCTAGTTTTATAAAGTGAAGACTTTGAACTTTTGGAAAAACACTCGATTGAGTTCTCATCATTTCGAAACAGTGAGTCATTATTGTTACAGTTTTCCACGGTTTAGAATGTTGTTGTATCCGAAGTTTTAGTAATACCAAAAAAGATAAGATCCTTTTTGCAACAATTTTCTTAGGTGACAAGTTTAAGAGACGAGGCGGACAGGGCGAAAAAAGAATGTCTCGATATCAAAAAGATGACTCAAGAAAAAGAATTGTTGTTAATCCAAGAGCAAACTGCTTTAAGGAAGGTTAGGAATTATTGTACATGGCAAGTGTTCAGTTTCTGTGTCACGAATTTTGGCAGGAAAACGTTCAAAACATGAAATATATTCGGCGTATCATACTGCGAAAGTCGTGTATTGGATAATTGTTTTACTTATATGTTTGCTTGTAGGAGAGGATTAGACTACATGATTTGTCTGCATGTCATTGTGTTTCATTTCATTATCTTGTTAACGAAATCATATTATTTTCTCAGGCTTTGGAACAAGTCGAGAAAGAAGCTCATACTCTCAAGAAGAAACTTTCACACGAGCAGAAGGCAAAACTTCAAAAAACTCACGCACGGATTCAAGAAGCAAGAAGTTCAAAACAAATGGAGCTTGCAAAGTCAACAAATATTGATAAGTTGGTGAGTCTTTAAATTGACCCAGAGTCAACCTATAATTTCACCAATTAGTATAACATATACCAATAGTTTTTTCATAATTCGTGCGCATAGCCCAACCAATAACCAAGATATAACCAATCATCTTCTCCTGTTTTTCTCCTATAGATATCTGATTTAGACGAACGCGAAGACCAGCTCAGGGCACTCACAGGTAAAAGGAAAATCTGAACGGATTTTCCATTGTTGATTGTGTTTCAAAATATCAGTAAATACTTTTCGACAAAGCTTGCAGAGAATGCTTTAAATTTTCACTTTCCTGTGCACATCAATAGCGAACTTACTTCGGGATCAGAAAAAGAATTCATTGGTCAAAGAACATTCTAAAAAGGTAAGAAAGTTAACTGATTCGGTGCTTCCACGAAATCTCTGGGAGATCTTCCTAAGAGACAATGCACTATACATATTCATATGTTGGTAACTGTTTTTAATAATGTCACTATTGGCTTATGAAATAAATTTTAGACGAAAAAGTTATTACAACAGCAACTCGAACATGAAAGAAATCTTAAACTTGGTGCATTTGAGAGAGTGGACGAGCTGCAGCGTCAGGTAAATAAGTATTCTTAGGTTTCGTGTGAGAGGAGTCAACTTGAAATCAGGACTCGCTATTTGGAATGAGTTTGAACATGTCACTGACAAGAATATTAGTAAGAGCAGTACATTAGTAGCAGTATTATTAAAGCCTGGTTTTCATATACCGTAATTCATCGACGATGGCTATATATTAGCCATTTCCCAATCGAGCAGGGTATTAGGTCTATTCGCGAACCGCAAAGCATCTATGGACTGTTTGGAGAGACAAATGATTTCAGACTTATATTTCCTGTCCCTCTAAACAGTCCATAGATGCTTTGCGGTTGCAACTCGACCTAGTACCCTGCATGCTCGATTGGAAAATGGCTAATTGTCGGTGGTCATTGATGCATAAAATCCTTTGTCTATCGAAGGAAATTATATACTTCATTGATCACCGACAATAGATCGTTGACCATCGCCAATGAATTACGACATACTGAAAACCAGGCTTAAAGTTCGCTTGTAATAATTCTATATTCTAGGTATATGACTATGAACAAGTTTATGAGTTACCTCTCAATACACGACCACAGACTACACCACGTAAGTTGCTATTCTTTTGAAAAAAAACAGAAAACTCTAAAAATCGAATGGAGTGCAAGCTACGCCTCTAAAAATTGCAACACAATATGTCAGGTATAAGTTGCCTAAAAGTCACTTGTAGCTATGGCAAGTTCCTTCTCCTACTCACAGGGACACGCATCATATTGTGCACTCCAACAGCATTTTTGTGATGTTATTTCATTGTTCTTAGCTTCTTTGCTGCCTCCAACCTCAAACTCCCGTTTAACGTCGGGTAACCATGGCAACCATTTAACCAATGAGAGAGCACGTCGTAGGGCTTTTTCAAGTAAAATATATACCAGTGCCCCGGCGCAAGAAAAGCGACCATCATACTCGGGCAATCTGTGGTCACCAAATTCTTAGAAGATTGGCAATACGATTACATCATTGCCTATATATAGACAAGACTACGCAGGTGATATCATCGTGTATCCATCTTCTAACATGCATATGAAAGACAAGTTTCATGTTCGAGAACCATTCTAATATCTCCAATGTGGAAAGAAATCTACATGTGTGATGGAAACATCAGGGTAAAACGACTTGAGACTTGACGATGACTGCTTTATTATCCAAAAAATGGATTGCCGGAAAGTTGCAAGGAGACCTTTGGCTTAGCTATACGGCAAACGGCTATTTTTGTTAGGTTTTTTTATATGTTTATGTTTAAGATTAATGCACCAGTTTTCTAGACCTGGCATTTGTTTTGAAGATTTGAAGGTATGCCGTGGTTATAAGAGGTATGCCGTGAACGTCAAGCTAAAGTAAAGATCTCTAATGTGTAACTGTGAACATATATATAAAACAATAAACTGTGTATCCTTTTGTTTTGTATTAGCAATTGGTGGTTGGTAGACGAAACACCGTGGATGTAAATAGTATAATAATTATAATGCCTTTTTGCATTTGATGTAAGCCGGTAGTGTGGGGCGCAGTTAGAACGATAATTGGGCGCGGGGGTTATTTATTCATATACTCAGTTCTGCTCGACGTAATTCTATTGAAAACTTGTAAACTTACAAAAGAAATGAATATAGAATAATCCCCCCCCCCAATTATCGTTATGTTCTAGCCACGCCACTTACAATTGCAGTGTGAACTAAGTATATTTATTGCAGTGCGAACTAAATATATTTAAACAATGCACGGTTCGTGTTTTGAAAAATTGTGAAAACGTTACTCTCACCACGAAGTCGCGAAATATCTCGGTCTCGGGGAACGAGTTGCATTAAATAAAGTTTACTCTCTCGCCACGAAGTCGCAAAATATCTCGGTCTCGAGGAACGAGTTGCATTAAATAAAGTTGTTGTGAGCCGACAAAAAATTTTCAAACCAAGTTCGTTTGATATAATTAGTAACAGTATTTTTTGTATGAAAAAGATAGTGGACAAAAAACGAATTGAAAAAAAACAACAAAAGAGACCATCGAGCTCTTTGCCTCTCGCTGACAGCAATGCCTCAAAGCATGCGAAGACTGGCGAACCAGTTGCGATATACATAGATTACAAGCTTACCCAGCACTTAGCGAAAGGAGGCCAAAGGACAGTTGCTATAGCAAGAACTCCGTCCATTGCTCACATTATAAGGTGGAGATGCACTACGGCTCCCAGACAATGATGTACGTGCACCTAACCGTTACGTCCCAGTGAGCAACAGAGTGAGCTTAATCCACAAGCCTAGCGCGTGCATAGGACGCATCGCATCGGCCACGGTGGCATGCCTTGAGAGCGAAGATAGATTTAACGTATTTAAGCTTTTCCTGGTCTCGGGAGGCCGTCTCTAACAAGTATGTGCATAGAAAATGACTAATAAGGCACACGCTTGGAAATTACAGGATTTAATTAAAGCCTAAATGTTTTTTAAGTGTTTTTAGCGAGAAAATAATACGTCCAATGCGATAATTTTGGTATTTTAATATTCTTTTGGTGTTTTTAAACAATCCTTGTTGGTTGAAAACTCCGTATAAATTACTGAACGGCTCAGTTTGATAAAATATTTTGATAATTCCTGATTCGCCGGGTACGAGTAGGGCCTAAACTCCGTTCTATTTTCAAAGATATTGAAGTCGGATCTTTCTTCCTTATTTCAAGATAAAAATCTGTTGTTTGCTGCATTTAAAAAAGGGAGGAAAACGTTGTTCAAAATTGACCCATCAAGAGTCCAATCGGAAGATCAGAAGTTGGACTTCCGCGTGTCTCCAAAGTTTCACATTTTATTCTGTACATGTTTCACTTTCAGGGTATTAAAGTTTTATCTTTACGCTTGATTTCAAAAAAATAGTCGGTTTGTTGTGTGGGTTTTGAAACGGCATTCAAAGTTGGCTATCTTTAAAATAGGGAACTGGGAAACCGGGGAGTAGAGGCACCGGGCAAACCAGGGGAACGGTGGAACAAGAAAACAGGGGAACCAGTGCATGGAGTGGGGAAAGGAGAATTGGGAATTCCCCGTTGCCCCCTTCTCTAGTCCTCCCGGTCCCCCCATTCCTTTGCTCCCCGGTTTTCCGTTCCCCTGTCCCCGGTTTCCTATTTTAAAAGATAGCCCGATCAATTAATCAAACGCGTCGCGCGCCGAATTTTTATCGTTGTTTACTAGCAGCCAACGTGACGTTCAGCCCTACACAAGGTTACGTTCAGTCCTACACAACTTTATGTTCACAGATGCAACCCATACATCACATATGCATATTTCGTGAATAGATATTAATTATACCAATGCAGACAACAGTTAATGGAAGGGGGAACATTTCACAGCATAGAAAGTGTCGTTCTTTGTCGATACTACAGAAGACTTACCTTGAAGTTGTTTACCTCTGTCTCTGATTGAATATGCAGTGATGATTTGAGTGACAGTTTTTACTGATATTCAATGTCAACTCTTAGAACTGTCAACTCATTAGAACTGGCTAATCAAAACATACGCATTTATTCAGTAAACAACCTACTGGCGAAAAAGTGCGCCATAGGCCAACGTAACGTTAAACGTATCGTTGAGTGGGGGTGAACGTAACGTTGAGCAGAGGTTAAAATCACGTTGACTGCTAATAAACAACGATAAAAATTTGGCGCGCGACGCGTTTGATTGCAAATTGCAGTAAAAGGAATTTTCATTTCGTGGAGAAGGATATTTGCTTATGTCATGTGGAAGCTTTCGAGAATGTTACAATTTTTTTAAAACCAAAAGTTTTACTTTGCTGTCAGCTTTGATTTGAGACGGGACTGATGGCAGAAAACGCTGATATTAAGCCAGCAATTATATCCGACAATGAATTCGCAAGTGATGTGGCTTCCTCCAATTTTGATGTAAGCACTGAAGATTTTGCAAACGCAAGGGCAATGCCTTTGACAGAAGATGAGACGATGAGATACTGCAAGCATTGCGATTACCAAGCTCCAGATTGGCCGGTAAATTCATTTATACGATTGTACATATAGTATGCATGCTTAGGAAATCATTTGGCATTTATAGACAGAGTAAAAATGTAAAATACTAAAATAGGGCACATACGGGTGCATTGCAAGCTAATCGGTTAACAAAAGACACTGACAAGTTGTTGTGTTAATTAAGCTCTTGGCCTGCCATTGAAAATTTAAGCCTTTCAATATTGTCCTTTAATTTTAGTTGTTCGCGATTCATGTTCTCAAACCATCCCATGTGAAAAAAGTCGCAGAAGCTATGAAAGTCCGAGTTGCAATTGATCCTATTTTAATGTCCATCACCTGTGATGTAAGTTTTTCAATGACAAATCTTTTTATGGTACTTCACATTACCCTCATTGAGTGTGGTTTGGAGTTGAAATTTTCACCATGCTTCAAACTTTGACACTCAGATAACCCTCTTTGATGGGATAAAAGATATATAACTTGTAACTTTTTCACTTGTTTAGGTATGCAATGTTACTTGCAGCGGTCATATACCTTGGAATGCCCATTTGATGGGTTCAAAGCATCGAAAGGTGAGCTGTCTGAATATAATAACAAGTTGTTTGAGAGTTGAGACCTGGATGGTTAGTTGTAAATTAAAGATGTTTTTTTGGTCTTATATTAAAACTTCTTACAATGAAAGAAAACATAGAATATATTGACACTGTAAACTCTTGTCCCCTTAGGCCATACAAGAGAACCAGGGTGGAGGTATGTAAAATATTCACAGTACTATAAATAGTGATGATGCATATGACTAAGGTGTATGAGTTGATATTGTAATAGTGCTACTACTCTTAGTTACAAAAAAAATTAGCTTGACCATGGTGAAACATGCAGACCTAATGTCTGCAAGCTCATTTGTTAGCTTGCCTGGTTAATACGGCAACTTTCACCATCACAATATACAACTTTATATATAAACATATAGAGTCCTTATAACCCTAGCTAGCTAGGCTTGCCAGCACTTCTCTAGCCATCGGAGAATTTGCAATGAGAAGAAAGCAATGCAAGTAAACTGGAAGTACATTGTGTGAGCTTTTGCCAAATAATGAATTTTCACAGGTGGACCAATTACAACTAGGATATCTGAAAACGATCACAATAGAAAACCTTATGAGAAAAATCCACAAAACAGGCAACTGCATCTGAAAAATGTTGAACCACCTGATGAAAATGATTTTAACAATTACCCAGATCCACTAATAGGTGAGTGGATTTTCTAATCGCTATTTGTCTTAATAAACTAAAAATGGATGACAATATATCCATGGACAATTTGTTGGAAACATTTAAACTTGCCAACAGTATGTGTTCCCAAAAGAGTGTAGCAAGCTTTTAAAAGTAGCAGTTTTTTTTAATTTTTGAATCACATGATTGAACAAATGATGATAATTATTAGATCTGTCATGTGTGGTGATAAATATATATATATATATATGAACTTGGTTTTGGTTAAGATTTCTTCAGACATAGAATTAAAGCACACGAGGTGTATCTCCAAACGTTTCGCCTGTTATGGCTTCTTCAGTGGAATGCTTTACAATGATATTTCCTCCTATTTATATACAACTAATTAAAATGCTAAATTACCAATGTGTATGCAATGTCTATAGTGTTCCATTATTCTATAAAAGCATGCTCATGCATTTAATGTGCCATTGTTAGGCAAACTTATTAAAACTCATTAATTTATAAAAGTCTATATAGTCCCGTAGTTTAAAATTCTATACAATGTTAATAGATTAGAAATAATTCAAACACTGATTGTTCTGCCAATACAGCCGTTCATCAAGTCTCCAGAATGTTTTTGTATTTCAAATGCTTCAATGTATTTCCTCTCCACGTTATTGCGATATTTAGCATGTAAAATCATCCATCTTATTACAGGTAGCCTGGATTTCTTGTGGGATTCCAAATGTTTATAAACCGTCTGCTTTTCCATTTTCAAGTGTTCTTTAATCCTTGATCCGATTGTTCGCCCCGTTTCCCCAATGTATACGATACGATACACATGCTGAACATTCGATTTTGTAAACAACATTCTTCTTTAGGCACAAGTTCGATTTTGAAGATAATTTGCACGTTTCACATTCGCTCGGACAGTTCTGTTGCGTTCTTTGGTGGCGCAAAAAACTTTGGACAGGGGTTGACCATTGATGAAATGTATTCTTACATTCGGTATTCGTGATCGCTTTACTACCCTAATAGCCTGCCTCTTAAACTCTTCGTTGATAAATGGTAGCTTTATATAGATAGATCGTTGTTGTTCTAATTCCTCCGGTTCATTATGTTGCTGGATATGTCGGTGTTTATTTTTATAAATCGTCTTCCTAATTATAGATTTAATGAATGTTTTAGGATAGCCATTGGAAGTAAATAATTCCGTGATTAGATTGAGTGATTTCTTTCGTGTTGTAGAATCAGTTGAACATTTGATAGCCCTATTTACTTCCCCAATCACTATGGCTTGTTTGGAGAATATTGACCCGTGACTGTCCCAGGGTGTGATGCATCGGCTGTGAATTGGTTTTATATAAAGGGTTGTACTAAATGTTTGAGTGCCCATGTTCCAGGTGACAAGGGTATCCAAAAACGGTAGTTGATTGTTGTTTGGCAATTCAAGTGTGAATTTGATTGCGTTATTAAGGTCATTTGCTAATGTTAAAAGCTTTTCTCCTGAGAATTCTTTACTTAACAGGAAGGCAAAATAGTCATCAATAAATCGCTTGAGAGTGACATATCCATTGGACTTAATTAGGATTTGGTTATCGAGTTCGTTCATGTAAATAATCGCCAAAACGGGGGCTAGGTTGTTTCCCATAGCCAAACCTGATTGTTGTTTGTAGCCTTTGCCGTCAATCAGGACCTTGTCGCTAATCAAGCAGAGACGAACCAGTTCTTCGAAGTCTTGGTCGCAAAGGGCATGTAATTGACAATCAGCTTTGTGTTGATGGAAGAAACGCCGAGTGACTGTGAAAATACTTGGAGTATGGTCGTCTATATCAACCATTGGTATAGACCCATATAAGTTACATACGTCCAAGCTGCAGAAACCATGTACTAAGTTACCATCTGTATTCGAGATAAAACTGATAAACTCGTCAGTGTTTTTTAAATGTGCTGGAACGTGTTTTAAAAGCGCTTGTAATGATTTGGCCAAATACTTGGACAAACATGTTGCGGGGTGTCTGTAGCTGCGTGTATAGGTCTTGCCTTTAAGTTCGGGTCCCTCTTTATGGTCTTTGGGTAGACAATAAGCAGAACAGGGCAGTGGTTCACTACAGATGGTAGATCTAAGGTCATTATATAACTTGGGGTTCTTGTATCGATATTTATTGGCAACTTTGTTCAACCGATTATTGAAGTTTATTTGTTCCGTCCTCGGTAGATTTAATTTCTTTAATTCTTTATAATTACCTGTCTCTGTTGTTGATCTATGTAGCATATCCTCATACGATGTTGTATCTAGAGCTAGTAATCGTTTAGTCTTATCCGTTGGGGTAATAACTATGTTTTTTGGTGGTAAATCATAGGTTAATGACTTATTCTTAAGAATCTTTTTACCATGCTTGTTACCTTCCTCAATCACGCGAGCCATCCCTCCTTTGAATTCATTTATGGCAGTCTCGGGAACATTTTGGCGTTTGAGTTGATCTATGGCATGTTGAAGACTGGCTTTAGCTAGTAAACTAAGTCGAGGGAGATCTTTGGGTTCAGCGTTTACGAAGGAGGGGCCCTTTTCCAAAATATTTTTGAGCTCATGATCCAACTCTTGAGACCTTAATAACGCAATCAAATTCACACTTGAATTGCCAAACAACAATCAACTACCGTTTTTGGATACCCTTGTCACCTGGAACATGGGCACTCAAACATTTAGTACAACCCTTTATATAAAACCAATTCACAGCCGATGCATCACACCCTGGGACAGTCACGGGTCAATATTCTCCAAACAAGCCATAGTGATTGGGGAAGTAAATAGGGCTATCAAATGTTCAACTGATTCTACAACACGAAAGAAATCACTCAATCTAATCACGGAATTATTTACTTCCAATGGCTATCCTAAAACATTCATTAAATCTATAATTAGGAAGACGATTTATAAAAATAAACACCGACATATCCAGCAACATAATGAACCGGAGGAATTAGAACAACAACGATCTATCTATATAAAGCTACCATTTATCAACGAAGAGTTTAAGAGGCAGGCTATTAGGGTAGTAAAGCGATCACGAATACCGAATGTAAGAATACATTTCATCAATGGTCAACCCCTGTCCAAAGTTTTTGCGCCACCAAAGACGCAACAGAACTGTCCGAGCGAATGTGAAACGTGCAAATTATCTTCAAAATCGAACTTGTGCCTAAAGAAGAATGTTGTTTACAAAATCGAATGTTCAGCATGTGATATCGTATACATTGGGGAAACGGGGCGAACAATCGGATCAAGGATTAAAGAACACTTGAAAATGGAAAAGCAGACGGTTTATAAACATTTGGAATCCCACAAGAAATCCAGGCTACCTGTAATAAGATGGATGATTTTACATGCTAATATCGCGAATAACGTGGAGAGGAAATACATTGAAGCATTTGAAATACAAAAACATTCTGGAGACTTGATGAACGGCTGTATTGGCAGAACAATCAGTGTTTGAATTATTTCTAATCTATTAACATTGTATAGAATTTTAAACTACGGGACTATATAGACTTTTATAAATTAATGAGTTTTAATAAGTTTGCCTAACAATGGCACATTAAATGCATGAGCATGCTTTTATAGAATAATGGAACACTATAGACATTGCATACACATTGGTAATTTAGCATTTTAATTAGTTGTATATAAATAGGAGGAAATATCATTGTAAAGCATTCCACTGAAGAAGCCATAACAGGCGAAACGTTTGGAGATACACCTCGTGTGCTTTAATTCTATGTCTGAAGAAATCTTAACCAAAACCAAGTTCATATAATATCCAGACATGTTACCTCATAACTATTCATATATATATTATAATATATTATATATATTATATATATATATATTATATATATATATATATATATATATAATATATATATATTGCAACATTATAGGCTTGGAATATGTGTCAGAAACAGAAGGTCGTGGTATAATTCCATGGTATCATTGTTCATTATGTGATGTAAAATTTGATAACAATCTCAAGTTTGCTCATTTGATTGGTCAAAAACACCGAATTGCAGTTCTGGTATGTTTATATACATCATCATGTTGGAATTGCCTAATTGCATTTATTAGTAATACAAAATTTGTATGACGGTTTAATTAAAGAACTGTACAATTTGCTTAACCAATTTTAAAAAATCCCATGTAGCTTTCCAACCATTTCAAGGTATTTTGCACTGAATTTTGAAATTTAGAAAAACTGACGAAATTACGAAAATTACCTTAATTTTCTCTCAAATTTTGAAATTCATCAATTTAAAAAAAAACGTAATTTACCTCAGTAATTTTCCTCAATTCGGTTCACAATACCTCAAACTGTTGGAAACTACATGTAATTTGGTTTAACATGGGGCGAAAATGTTCAGAACTAAGCACGTGTTGCATTCTTTCATTAAAACAATACATTTGAACAAATAAAACCATACCAATTTTTTACAATTTCACAATTCGATTGATAATGGCTCGAAATGGTTCAAAACTAACTACAATTGCATTCTTTCATGAAAGCAATACATATCAACACATAAAATCATACTTTGTTGAATTTCAAAATTTCAGGCAAATCGGCAACGGGGGACGAAAGGAAAAATCGCATTTTCGTCATTTTTTTTGAAGTCTCGAAATTCGGTTCAAAATACCTCAAAATGCTTCTATGCTGTTTTTGAAATTTTGAAATTCGATTGAAAATACCTCAAACTGCTTCAAAACTAAGTAAGAATTGCATTTCTTCATGAAAAGAATACATATGAACACATAGTCATAGAATCATACTTTCATGAATTTCAAAATTTCATGGAATCGGTAATGGGGAACATTGAAATGTGTTTATAGAAAATTAAGCGTCCTCACTTGATCGTGGGATTAGATTCAAACACGATGAAACGCTCTGAAATAACTCCGATACTACTCGAGCTGGCGAGAAATTTGGAACAAGAGGAAGGCCGACAAGAAGTGAAAAAAAAATTCCGGAAATACCAACCACATGGTCTGTTGAGATTTTTTCTATAACGAACTCTATGGTAGTGTCACTATGTTTACAGTAAAATTTCAAAATAGGTGATATACTATATATATAGATAAACGTGGCAACTCTCAATTAGGTGAGGGTTGCGGCAAATATTCCTACAAATTTTTATTCAGATACGACTTTTAAAATTCGCATTCTCCAATTCACTTCTGATGGATGTTTTATGGTCTGTTCACTTGTAATGTTTATGAGCAGCATATCAACTAAAACCAATGCGGTATACTGCTCTGTCAATATAATAGTTAAGAGACTACATTCCATATATCATAAGTGAATTGAATGGTGTGGACAAACTTTTTGTTAACGTAATTTTCTTGTTAGGTCGAGGGGCACAGCGGGGTAGAGGGGGCAATCGAGGCACAACGCGAGGATTAACGAGGGGACGTGGTAACAGAGGGATGTCACACACTCAGGGAAGAGGGTATAACGTGGGTTCGTATCCAAACCAGCCTGGCCAAGGAGGACGCTCAACATATAACGAATCGCTGAGCAATTTCGCATACAATTCAAGTAATGTTGGTCCAGACTATGGCTTAAACTATCCACAAAGGTCAGTTTAGTGCAGGGCTTTTATAAATTGTTTTGCAACATCCCTTTTTCAGTGCTAGCACCTAGATAAACTTAATACCTTGGTAAACTGTTCTATTAGGAACAATATATTATTTATCTAGTGTCACTACAGGAGCAAACTTAAACTAAACTAACTTTATACTGACACATGTAGCTCTATCAGTTTTAAACTATGCTAATCAAATGATATCATCCCTAATTAACAAATAAACCTTCTTATATCATCCAGCTATGAGACTGAACACATCCACCATGGTGGTAGTTCCTCTTATCATAGAGGTGGTGGACAGGCATATTCTGCTCAACCACACCCCAGTGGTCAAGTCTACCCCATGGCAAATACCAACAGGGCACCGAAAACCTTGGACACTCGTAAAGAACACCTTAAGGTATATTGAAATGATTACTGAAGTACACAGTCTGCTATGGTCAACAGTGAGCAATATTAAGAGTGGTTGAGACAAATTTCCAATCATTTTTCTAAATTTTGTTTTAGTCCGAAATCACAGCCAATTTAGCGGCCGCCCTTGGCGATTTGGTAAGTTGAAAATTGAATAAATTTTATTTACAGAGATGAGCGAAATTGAACTGATATGAATTTTGATGAAGCAGCGCTGGAGTGCTTGGAACAGTTTGTTAATTTGATATGATGTATTTTCCAGACAAAACTAGTTCACGACGAGGAAGATGCCTCAGTTGCTCTCCACGTTTCAAACGCTTTGACAGAATCGTTACTAAAGTATAGAATGAGTGGATTACAATGAATTGTCCATCATATGACTTCTACAGGAATCCATTTCGAAACCAAAGCTCAGACATATCCCTTGTGTCCCAGCTATGAGTCCAGGTGTGAGACAAATGTACTTGCTATAGTCAAACTTTGAAAAGTCGCCAAATGAATACTCAGCCTATCGCAGGCTGGAAAGAATTCCAATGGTATTAAACAGGGGCGTAGGAATGTGTACAGGATTGGGGACGGGCAACGTTGACTCAGCAAAAATTTTTGAAATTTGATTGCTTTAGATCCCCGGAAATGCCCATTTCTTTTTGGTTTAATTTATACTTCTTCAAAACAGCACAAGTCAAAAACGAATAAGTATAATTGTTAACCCTTCACTTTCGAGTGAAGTGCGCCAATATTTGCTGCCCATATGTATAAGTTGCGAGTCAACTGATCCGACAAAATTGGATAATCCTTTACCTACCAAAACAACTGTGAATGTAGAAAAATTTTAAACGTGGATATTGATACAATCATGCCGTGATTCATGCACATATATATGCATGTCACGGTTCTGGCATAACACTCACCCCGGAAGTTACATGTATACTATGGAAATAACCACATGATATACGACAGTCCACAGGATATGAACGGAAAAGCCTTTAGGCTTTAAAGGACGTGGAAATGGTGATACGTCTATATATGGACATGCCACGCTATTTATTCGCCATTTTCACGTCCTCTTTGACGTTCACGTCCTCATCAGCTCCTGCTAAATCTGCCTATTGCTGAAGAGTGGCGAGTTTGTTACGATCAAATGCCGTTTTGTTTTATACACACGTCGGTATGGCTTACAATATATTATTTGTTTGGCACTGTTTATACATTGTGATTATTTGTGCTAGCGGAAAAACAACAGCACAGATTGAAATCAAACGAGAAAGATATGATAAATTTATTCCTCAAAACTTACATTTGGAACGTCAGAAATCTAAGCAAAAAGCGGAAAATATGTGTAAGAGTTTCAAAGCTGAATGTGAAAATGATGAATGTAAATATTGCCAGTGTATTGAAGAGGATAGCAACACATTTCTGCTGTTAACTCCTACCACAGGCAATTGTACTAAAGACCAAGATATCATACGTGATTCAGGTGATGATGTAATGACTAATGTTTATCTGTTAGTATTGCTATTTTGAGTTAAATATTGAGGTATTGAAGAGTTTTAGATTGGCGTTTACAGCTAGGGCAACCCGCTGTTCCACTTTTGGGGTTATGTGGTCATGTTATTTACTAATTTCAATACCTCAAACTCATTCTACGCTTCCTTAAATCTCAGCTAAGCGGGATTATCATATTGTTACGAAATGCGCATATATAATGTATTTAGCATTTTAAAAAAATAGAAGGTCAATATCGATGAGGAAATTACTTCGGGAACATGTCACATAAAATGACGTGTAAAGTAAATATTATTATTATGACCCTTCGGAATCACAAAATTCCTTTTTCTGTCATGAGGTGACAGCCCATGGGATTTCCTCCCAAACAATAATACTGTCGTACAAAGTATATATATATATATATATATATATATATAATATATATATATATATATAATATATAATATATATATATATATATAATATATATATATATATATGTATTCACCTTCTAGTACCAAATGAAAATTTTTTTCTTCGAAATCAAAATTACGGTAAATGTCTTACGGTAAATGGAAATCGGACTGAAAAAGTTTCTGGAACGAATTGCAGCTCGTCTCTAAATATGCGTTGGATATGGTTAAATGAAACGGGAAAAATCCAACTTATGAATGTTATGTCACTCCAGTGTCTTGAATTTGTCAAGTCTTTGTCTACATGTTCGCAAGAAGGAAGATGGGTTAGCCATTCAGTAGTTATGAAGCAATGTGATAGAACCAATCTGCATCAGCAAATAACACTGAAGACTGTGACAAATTATATATTTACCAAAATGTGCAGCGGCCAAACGAATTTTTACCTTCAAATCGATGAACGCAGTAAGAGAGCAATAAGTAAGACACACACCGCGGGACAGACTTGGAAAAACACGGATGAACATCTGAACTGGAAAACAACTATTTACAGAGGTAAGCATTGTATGTATACGTGCTGATATGCAGGGTTTATATATAAGCACGCGACAAATTTGGAGACAAGGGAAATAAAGATCTGAACTGGGAAAAAAGTCAGAACTGATTGTATATGCTTTATATGCATGGTTTTAAAGAGCAGAGTACTCAATCTTGCATATTCGGTAAAATACAATTTTTCTCTAAAAGTTTTTTCTTTAAAAATCAGAATTACCTTAAGATTTGAGTTGTCGACTTAGCAAACAATTTTTTCTATTTTCTATACCTCGAGAGATCGAAAGCTTCCTTCTAATTATTTGATATCCATTTCGATAGGTTGTTACCGTTTTCAAAACCAAAATTTCATGCTTTATCTGGACAAAGACAATTGCTCTAAGCCATGTACTCGAAATTTTTCTGCCCCAATCTTCTCTGAGAACTCGCAATGTAGCATTATATGTCGAAATCTACCATCATGCGGAGTGATATGATGTGGCAGAAAGTTACGAAAATGACAAACAAGGAACCTATTCTCGTCAACAAAGTTTCAAAAGATCCTAGAATGTTAATGGTAAGAGTCATTAAAGGAAAATATAAATTTGTAATGGCAAGATAAATTATATAATCAAATGCTCATTATAAGTAACATTTTTTGGTTTGTTAGTGGCTGATTCGTTTTTATTTTTTCATAATTATACATCATGCTGCAGTTTTACACTCGCTAAAAACCCGCAACAATGACGATAGTTATATATTCCAACGAACTACTAATAATAGAAACGGGCTTAGCTCTTCTCTTTATGCCACGTGAATACGCTTGACGTGTCCTTTAAAGTGAACTCAATTCTATTAAACCTAGCTATACCGAGCTCAATAATTGCTTCTACAATTATTCATAGATCCAAGAAGAATCATTTGAAATCTTCAACAATTCAATTTCCTGTAAAAGTAAAACCCACGAGTCGAAAGGAGAGAATCACTGTTTGCTTCTCAAGTTCAAAAAATTGGTGGAACAGAATGTGAGTTCAATCCCGCACTGCGTTTCTGACGAATGCAGTCAATTTAAGTACTGTAATTTGGGTAAAACGCATGTAGTCATGTATAAATGCATGACTGAATAACTCTCGCGACATTCCCGCGCGCGTGTTTGGATCAAACCATCCAAACACGGTAACCATTCAGAATTTGTTTCATCTTCGGTGGTGCATTTTCTTTCTGGATGGTCATGGATGGCTGCTGTTTTTTGCTTAGACATTTTCCGAAGCATATTACATGCAGATTTATTCATATTTAGATACAGTTTAAAACTGATTACAATTCTGTTTTCTTTTTCGTAAATCGAAGAGGACAACAGAAAAAACCACGGCGATATTATCAACGACAACAGCAAAAGTGGCAGACACCACAGTGATATTAAAACCTGGAACAGGTGAAAAAAGTGTACTGGTCACTATCGTTATTACGGTCTCAGTCTCTGTGCTCATTATCGTTCTGGTGCTTGTTGTGGCCTATATTTATCGAAAAAGGTATCTAATTATCACTCCACGCATTCATGCACAAGAAAGCATCACAAGTTGCTAATTAATTGTAATTAAAGAAAAACAAACGTTAGATCTTCGAAACCAACGGTAAAAGCTAGTGAACCACGCCCGTGAAAATTGTGTCTGCCGTGAAAAATGCGATAACAAGACGTGCTTACATATAATTGAAGTCAATAGGTATATTTATTTTTTTTCTCGCGGTCCTAATTCATATTTTAGCGTTTCCCGCAATCTAATTGGCTACGCGAGCAGTCCTTCGGCCTCGGACTGTTTTTGAGACCTTGGGAAATATTTCCCTATATGAACCTCCAATCTGGTAAACAACATATATATATATATATTGCATGATGGGGCAGGATGTCGAGTTGGGTTCATTACTACCGTTATCAGTTTACAAAAAACCCATCCGAAACATTTGGTATATTTATATCTGTTTTGATCCACACATGCAGCTTCGTTGTAAATTTAAATATTTTTCAGAGTTATTTTCGGCGGTTATAAAAGAGAAATTTGAAAGCTGTTCGAGCTTTGGAAGAACCGCCCTCAAATTCACTATTAAAAATAAATACTCATGGATCTTATAATCTAAATTCTTTCTTCTTTAAATAGATTTGTAAAAAACAGTGAAAGAGGAAATTCAGGTAATTATCCTTCACGGTTGATCCCGGGATTTATAGTTTATACACGTCATATTTTGGGCTTCACGTTTTCAGTTTGGCTCACGTCGTTGAGTTTCGTTTTTATAATGTCTTTATTCAAGTCTTTCCTGTTGCACTCGCACCTAACAAACTCTTCTGCTGAATTTCCTTCATATTTATAAACAATCATGGAGTGTGTCTGTCTTGGCAAGTTTAAACTTAAAAGTAGCAAATGAAAAGCTATAAGTAAACCATTAATTGCTACAGCCTTTCTCGCGATAACAAATATATTAACTCGCTATAACTGATGCGTGTACTTTTTCATGCCTGTAAGCGTGGGGGCCACGTAACAAGGACTTCATGGAATTTTGGGGGGTAAATTCGTTACGTGAATGAGTTGTTAGTTATTCTGAAAGAATTATTAAAAGCACTCAAAATGGCGACTATTCGTCATCGACATGGTGGGGAAAAACAAGAGATGTAAAGAGATTTTTTCATCCTCCATAATAATTGCATAGGCGGGATTACATTCAACCCTAGTCCACTCTCTAAACTCACAATGTTGTATTAACGTAGTGGAAATAAACTGAATAGTTGCTTTTATAGTAACAGATCAAAATTCTTCACCGGTTGTTGAAGAGTTGCCAGAAATGCGAAACCTTTCTAACAACCAAGCAACTCCGATAGAATCTGAAATTTATGTTATACCAAGAGCAGAACAAGAATACCTGTATGAAAACACTAACCAGAGAATATCGTGTGCGCAATCCCAAGGTCCTGAGTACGAGAATCCAGGAAGCCCCAAATACGAATCTCCTGAAATCCACCCGAACCATCAATACGAGTATCCTTCTCTCGGTGCGACAGGAAAGAAAGATGTCGGTGTGAAGGACGGCGAGTATTTTCCACTTAGAAGGCCGCTATTTAAAGATAATGAAGATGATCTGTCCGGTTATACATCTCTTTTAAAACTGAATAGTTCACAAGGTCACAAGGAAGCAACGTGATTGTCTACAGTGCGTATTTATAAGCAACTACCTTTTTAAGGATTTTCATAATTAATTTTAAACATCGTTAAGTAATTAATGAGCATGCAATAACATTTTCAACCTATAAAAAGTCTTTTATGAAGTTATTAAAGCAGCATTGGTATTAAAGGTACAGCTGCATGCTTACATGAGCCCGGTTACCTCAAACTAAACGAACAGTGATTGAAAGTCTTCATGAAACAAACAAGTTCTTGCTACTGTTGGGATGATTACACCACTACCAGGATGATGCTCAACTTCGTTTCCAGGTTATGCATTCTGCTCAAATGTGGGCAAAATGGAAACCGTGGGAACAATTAAGATGGGATCATGTTATATGCATTTAAATACTTCAAAATCAAAATCGGGGCCAATTAAACGGGAACATGCTCCACAGTTCATTGTCTGATGAAAATCTTATAACTGTATGAGTGCGGCATATTTTTGAGATCTATATATTTCGGTTCTCACTTCTCAGTAGTTGAGATATTCTTTACATCCTATCACATTGGCAACCTTGTCTTGTGGGATCCTTTACTTCAACAAAACGATAGTTAGCTACAGCATGAAAATAGTGAACAAAGTCTGATATAAAGATAATGATAGCGTAGTACTGATAGTAGACCTTAAACCATTTATAGAAACCAGTTGATGATAGTTCGCTAGTAAAAT